TTGATCCTGAGAACAAACAAAACAGCGGCGGCGAAGGCGATTTGTTCGCTCTCACTCTTCTCGCGTCCACCGTTGTTGTTCGTTTATCGGCCAGCAAACGAAAGAGAAATAGAGAAGGAAGAATAAAAGAGAAAATTTGTTCATCACATGTTCATTCATCTCTATGCCTCCAATATACATATATAGGAACACCATCTCATGAATATATATGTCAAATACAACAAGGGAACGCGAGTACATGTATACACATGGACGACGATAGGATATGAACGATAGACAAAAGAATACGAAGCAATGAAAAATGACTACTAACAACACTTTTCTACTGCTATTCGAGTGTTGGTTAATATCGGTGATTGTGTTGAAAAGAGAAGAAAAACATAGACACGTTTAGAAGGTGGGGAAAAACATACATATAAAGAAAGAAGTGAGAAAGAAACAAGTTGAGATTTCTTTTTTAGCTTCAACGCTTTTGATAATGATAAAACTAATCAAGCACAATTCGTTCACTCATCATAATAATTTCAATGTTTGAAACATTTTCAATAAGTGTGAACAATATATTCTTTGATCAATAGTGAACAAATTTAGAATATTAACAAAAAACAAAAGTTTTGCATCTCAATGCATATTATGAAACTCAATATTCGATTATGTGTCTAATGGTTCAAAAACAAAGAACAAGACTTTTATCTCTAATAATAGGATTTGCCAATAGAATGTTGTCGAACTGCATAATTCTAGCACATTTTTCCAAAATGCACTGTCGCTTTTATCTTTTCTCAGTATACAGAAGTGATTAATGAAGGCTTACAAGGTATCTAATACATATATCTGCTGCTCTAGCCTATCAGACTCAACTATAAATTCATTAAAATGTTGTATTCTTTAATCTATAATCCGTATTCCTATGTAATCTATATAGAGCTGTCAAATCACCAAGTTCTAATGATGTTTGATCAATTTCAGATGAAATACACATGAGATATGATTTTTTTTCCAATGAAATACAGCAATGAGTACACAAATTTTAGAAATGTAATATTTACTGTAAATTATCTACTATGATCAGAGTATATTTCTGATGGGAACGTTTGTTCAACTTTTTTTTTGCAGGAACTGATATGTAGATTTTTACTTTTGACTAAAAGTAAATGTATAAGTAAAACATTTTATGCAATTCTACTTTAGAAATAAAACGAAAATATTTTTATGAAATAAACGTTATCGATAAAACTTTACGAATGAACTTTCTACGATATCAATAGATAACACATATTATCATACCAAACCATTTCAGATTTTTTTTCAATATCTATGTAAAAATTATCAATTAATAAGAGACCTATGACTGTTATTTCGTAAGGAATGCTATCGAAATGATTACAAAATATTGCTAACATCACGGATGTCATGAAACGATTTATTATTGGAATATTCACAATCTGCATCTAGTTTAATTTTAGAAAATTTTCATTTTTCAGCATAGGTTTTTTTTTAAACATACTCATCAATTTGAGAGCTTGGTTTTCTGTGACACTTTTGAAATGAATTATTATTCTATAAATGTTTCAATTCAAATCAAAAAGGAATATTATAATGAGAACTTTTACGATAATACTGATTTTAGATCTGTGATATAAAGATACTACACTTTCTCACTCAACGTATAAACTTTTATTCGATATTATCATTAGCTTCAGTATAAAAAAAATACGACAACGTTTTTATATGAAAACACGATAAAAAAACGTTAAGTTTTGGTCAATGTTGAGCATCTCGAGGTCTGTTTCAGAAGCCAAAGTCTTTTTCTTATAACTAAGTAGCTCCATGAAATCAGTATTTATTGTAATAATTTCAGCTTCAAAGAGTTGGTTAGGGAGCGAATATTCAATGATGAAATTGGGCCACTAGTGGCATCTATAACTCGACTATATGGAACGAAATCAAGAGCTTGGAGCTACTTTGAATTGTATCACAAGCCGAATTATATATATGTTGTAATTCTCAAAATTCCGTAGCAGATCAATTGAAAATGGCACGCCCGTCTCACTAGACACTATTGAAATCAACATAGTCAGCTGAAAAGCAAGGATTTCCTACTAAAACTTGAATATCTTGTCAGCAACTTCAGCTATCAAACCGCCGTCTGCGACAAAAAATCAGTAGATGACACAATTGTAATACAAATGATTGAAATCAAATTTGCAGAAACTCGTTTGAACAATCTCGTGTGACACTGAGCTGTTATAAGATGTCTCAACATGTTATTACATGTGATTAAATATACGCATGAAGTAACAGTAGCTTTTATATAAGAAAAACAGAAGATGAAAAGTATTGTTAATAATTGATATGTTGTATATCAGATTTTTTTACTCGTATATCTCCGCTAATCATTATAAATGGATTCTAGTCACAGGTAATTTAGGTAACATTATTTTAGGTACATATATACCAACAGGATGGAGAGAAATGAAACATACTCTATAGTTTAGTAATTATTTTTCCTCCTCGATAAGCAACATGTGCATATTAAGAATTTGTTTGATATGACAAGTGTAATGGTAATCTCGAAGAAATCATTTATTGAAGAGCCGAGGATCCAACAACATCAATTTCTTCTATTCTGAACTGTAATAATAACGTTAATAATTATCTTTGAGACAAGTTTTAATAGGAATTTATATGTTTTATCTTTTTTTTTCTTTTATTTAAAGTTAAAAAGAAGTGAATTTGTAATAAAAATCGACTGTATAATTGACATAGACTTCGAAAAGAATAAAAAAGATATACCAACATTTTATTACATTTGAAAATCCCAAAAATCAAGAGTCATTATTCATGTTTTGACAAAAAAATTGTGCTTATTTTATTCTAACCAATCATTCGAATGTACTCAATTATATAATTTTCTTAAAATCAGCGCATGAATTGCTTATTTTATGCTCATGAAACTTGCAAACACTTAAGCGGTTTGTCTATGGAAAGAAAGTCATGCGATATAGACACATCTTAAAGTTTGTGCGTCATCAAACACATGAGAAAACAAATTGTGTAGAAAATGTCTTGGCGTTTTATACAAATTATGAAATACGTATAATGGATTTTAATTTAATAGTAGAGAAAAAGTCTAATGACAAGAATGTTATATGTAAATCGATTTGATAATATTCATGTATGAACTTCCAAAGTTTCATGTAACATCATGTATCTGATTTTTCTCTATTTTCGATTTCTATCGACTTGTTTTCTAACGAAAGCTTTTTATTTTGAATTGTACAAATATATTTAGTTAATAAAAATGACAAAATCTAAATCCAAACACGATTATATGCTCATAAAACATAAATCAAAAAGAAAAAAAAATTAAACAAAAATTTAATTGTTTTGAATGCGTTCGATTATCTAATCTTAAATGAAGAAATACATAATTAAACTACAAGAAACTTACTTTTGATTAGATATGTTCAATAACATCAGCTGATTAAAAGAAAATTAGGACTAGAAGCAAATAAAATTTTAGATAATTTAAGCATAGTAAAATGGGTAAAGGTGTTAAAATGGAAATAGCCGACGAAATCAAGAGAGGATATATCACAGTTCAAAGTGATAATGTAACAAGAAGATCTTGATGATATCTTAGTAAAACTGAGGAAGTTATAAGGCTTCCTACTATGATAGTACAAACTGTCGAAGAAATCTTGTATTATCTTTACACGATTTTTCCACCTGGGAAGTCAACTTCACGCGTATGTTCGTCATCATTCTCTTCATTGAGTGGAATTCATTGTAATGCATACGTACATGTATATAGACAAAAATATTATTCAAAGTTTTTTCCAATCACACAAGTTAAAGAATATTCATTATTTATATGTTCGTATACTTTCATGATAACTTCTATTGTTGTTGCTCTTTTTGATAGTATAAGCTTTTCTTTGCTCCATCATTTTACTAAATCGTAGCCAAGCGATCCAAAACGACGCTGTCTTACTGACAACGATCATCATTTGTATGCATCAATGAAAAAAGAAAAGAAAAATACATTTATCTTTAATTGTCTTTGTCTGATATGTGTATATCGATGCTTTCAGACTGTGACTGTGGGTGAGTATGTATATTTACGAAGAGAGAATTCTCATTCACATTTCACCTTCAAAGACATTTACTATCCGATTGACATATCATATAATCGAAAATGTTGTGACAATAAATTTTCTCAAAAAACCAATATCATCTTATTCTACAGGGTTCTTTGATTAATTCAAATCAGATTCATCAGCTGGCCAAAATCAGATGTACGTGTTTTTCCTTCTACACAATTATTAAAAAAAAATTCGGATTGATAAAAAATACAATGAGAAAAGAGATTTCTATCAACCATAGTTATTAATACAATCAGCAAGATATACTTTAACAACATTGATCACAGTCTTTACATGCAATAGATAACATGAATTTCACTATATTGACATCCGCAATAAACTTTTAGCATATGCCAGATATTATATCATAAGGTAAAGTTTAGTTCTGAATAAAGTTGAACCTTCGACGATTTAATTCATTTCAGATTTACTAATTTAAGAGAACACAATATTTTCAAGGAAAATAACAGATAAAGAAAATATTTTTGTTCATGGAAAAAGTACAAATGATTTATTAAAACATAAAATACTCAAAAAATAAATGTAAAAGTATTAAAATACACTTTCTTCAAATTTCAGCTGTATTTATTTTAATCTTGAAATAATCGAACGGTCATCACTATCTGTAGCCGCCATCTATGATCAATACCATGATTGAATTACAACTGGTAGAACAAGCAACGGTCTCGTTCTCAAGGTAATAAAATATAACAGTACAACATTAATTTAAATGTGCTCTCTATATCTGATCGTTCGCTATTGATATATACAATATGATGAATATATGTGATAGTGTACATACATGAAAATGAACTAAAATATATCATTATCATTCTATTTGAAATAGTTAGTATGCATAAAAGTAAAATACCTTCATTTTCATCAACAAGTATGCCTCGTTTTTATTTTGTTTTATTATTATTAATTATTATTTTACTTGTTTATTGGTATTTTTCATCTGATTTAAATTCTAAACAAGTCTTTGCTAATATATCTCGTCTTCCACAATCATCTTTGTTTACTTATCCAAATGTTTCTTCACAAATACATTTCAATGAAAGTCAAGGTATACTTTATGTACCACCTTATGATCAACCAGCTCATTTTGTTTCAATGAAAAGCAATGCTGTACGAGGCAATCATCGACATAAAAATAATGAAAATAGTATTTCATATGAAGTACTTGTTCTATTACAAGGTCAATATCAATTTCGTATTAGTAATGATGATACAAACAAATATGAAGATTATCAATATGATATATCTAAAATAGGTATTGTTGCTCTTAAATTTCCAGCTGATAAATGTCATGCATTAAAAAATATTGGAAAACAAACAAATTGGTTTGCTAGTTATTATATTAAATCAAAAGATGTTACAACAATATCTGTTGATAAACAAAATTGTAAAAAAATGATATTAACTTAAATAAATTATCAATTAGTTTTTATTAACTTTTTGATGGTAAAAATGATTCAATATCATATCGACCAAGTTGATAATCGACAGCTAATTGAACCTATTTATCAAAATAACAAAAAGTTTAAAAATAGATGAAAAATAAATATTTTTATTAGTTACATGTAATTGTGTTGAATCGAATAAAGGTATTTGAGAAAAATCACTTTGTTTAACAAGTTGAGGAATTTCTTTAAACAAAAAAAAAACAATTGAAAATAAATCTTATTCAAAAGAAAAATTCATTTTACCAGTACAACCAAGAATAATTCCTTCAACTTGTTGTTCATTATATAAACGTTGCATAGAATTGACATAAAATTTTCTTGATTCTTCAGTAAATATATTATTTGTTAATTCATCAACAATTATATCATGTAAACGTTCAATTTCATCTTTATGTGGAAATACAATATTTAAATCATGTTGAATTAAACGTTCAACAACACAACTATTTGATACCATGGCAAATTTTGATCCAAAAAATCCGATCTAGAAATAATTTAATAGATTTAAATATTTTATAAAATTGTTTGGTTTTTTTTTTGATTGATACTTTTTTAAGTTTTTTTTGTTTAATTGAAAATGCTACAGCATCACTTATATGAAGGAGAACAAGTTTAGGATAATATTCTATGATTCGTGGTACAGCTATATGACCTAAAATTTACAATTTGTTGACAAAAAATAATAAATAAAATTGCGGAGAGTATTTACCAGTATTCGAACAAATAAGTAAAAAATCAATGCCACTTTTTACTAATTGATGAACACCTTCAAGAAGAAATTCAGCTACTTCAAACCATTGATTCTTATTTAGTAAATCAATATAATGAAAAATATCAAGTGAAACAATATGAATATGACTACCATGACCGGGTAAAAATTTACCAACTAATTGATTCATTTGATTATAATACTTTGTTGTTTTTGAAAAAGAAAATATTAAAAATCAATATTAAGTATAGTAACTTACATCAACTGTTGAGACATAAGATAAACCTCCTAAAAGGCCACATACACGTTGTTTCACTTGTGTATCCATTTTTCATGTGTAAGCATGTCAAACACAATGCAAAGGATGGATGTTATCAGTTCTCATTTTTATCACTTCATAAAGAACAGAAGAGCTTTGTCATAATATGTCAGCAAATATTACTTTTTTATGAATATGCAGAATTCAAGATTTTAATTTTGAAGCATGACCGAAAAAAAAACTAACTACATATACACATATTCTATGGAATAGATTCTCATCTTAAATTAAAGATAAAACTATTAGAATCATTCATTATTTCGTTAGCACAAAAATTGATTCTTTGAGAAAATTTTCATACGTTAATAAACATTCGAAGGAAGCGATATAGTTTTATATTTTTAAATGTAAAAAACACGTTAAAGATAGTAATGAAGTATATAGAAATACATCCATGGGCAAAAGTCCTTCCCCACATCTCTTTTCTTGGCAAGGTTTTCTCTGCCTCCATATAAAAGAGAATCCCTAATAACCTCTAATCGGCCCGAACAACAACATGTTTTGTCCTTATAGTAGCAGAGAAAACTTTGCCAAGAAAAGAGATGTGGGGAAAGACTTTTGCCCACAGGTGTAAATACTTTTTTTGATTAAATTCTGATAAGTACTCAGCAGACACTCGACACATAAATACATTTTCAATTTTGACGTTATACAATGGAAAGAATTCAACCCATTAATAGATCGGCTTCGAATATAAATTTCTACAAGTTGAATATGAAAGTAACACATAAGATTTAATGCATCATTTTATTGTTAATATGTCTGTCAAGAAACACGAAAACTGATTTTAAAAGCAAGTGTAAAAATTACATCATCAAAAAAGAAATTGAAACGTCTCAAGAATAATAAATCTGAATTCACAGTTGAAAAGATCTATGGAATAAACGTACGTGACAAGTAGTTAATTGTTTTCCTTCATACTTTTTTTATTCTCGTTAATATTCTCTTATGAAAATAAAAGCCAAGAATCAGAAAAAAAAATTCTATGTATAATATAATACAAATAAAGACTCACATTTTTATTTGTGCTTTCTTTTATAATTAACTACCAGCACTTTACTTTTCTAACGCAAATATATACTTTCAGTTGATATTACGCAGAGCTCTGACTACTACTGATGGATTTCTATTAAAAGTCTTCGGTCCCCGGAATCTTTGGGCCCATAAAGTTTTCATGGGCTGAGATTTTGCAGGAACGCATCTCTTGGTGCACCAGGATTGTCTGCAGAAACTAGAGTCCAAACGCATTTATATTATATGAGACCTACCTATATAGAAACCGATTATCAGCGATGATAAGAAAAGTTGACTTGATCGAATTTTACACTGTTATAAAATACACACACATATAAAAAATTTTATGTTTCCGAATAGAAATAAAGCTTAGATGATACTCTTCTCATGATAAAATTTTCAAGTAACTCGCTTTCATACTATGACAGTTGACGACCTTGTCTCGAACAACATAGACAAGTTTACTAATTCTTCATCATTACAAGGTCATTGACTGAAACTTGCAGAATACATATGTAGATTTCATGTAATATAAATGTGTTTGGACTCCAGTTTCTGCAAATAATCAGGGCACACCTAGAAATGCATTTCTGCAAAATTTCAGCCGATGAGACTTTTATGGATTCAAAGATCTCGGAGACCGAAGACTTTTGTGGAACACTGTACATGCAGATGATCGAATAGAAACTTATCTTTATAATAATAAATATGAAATATGAAGATTATTTGATCTGAAAAAAGATATATTGATTTATATTTGCCATTCGTTGATTTTTAATATATTCATATGTGAACTTTGATTGATCTTATTGTTTCTTTCAAGTAAAAGTAAAAGAATTAATTGATAATAGAATAGTATTTATATATGATCAACATGTATGTAAAACATCATTGAGTAAAATTGAACATTTACTTGCTAATTGCAAGATTTATCACATGTAATTAGTTTATTATGAATTATTTTATTATTTATAATAAGAACATTTAATCGAATTAAATATTATTTATCAGAGAGCGAGAGAACAATTCAAATTTTTCTTTTTTATAAAGTAAATAAATAATAAAAAAAGGCTCATATATAATTCTATGATTTTCTTTTTTTAAAATGGATAAAGAATAATTTGTTTCTTTTTATTGGTTGCACCATCTTAGGATTATTAGTTGATTCGTTCATCGATAAATACTCATAGAGTAACAGTATCGAAAAAAAAAAACCCATATTTATCTTTCTCTCATTTTTCATGCATCCGTTCATGTGGATAGGAAAAAAAAAGAAACGTAACCTTGTTCGGAGTTATGCACATAGCAAATATACACTTTAACGTCTAAAAAGTAAGTTTATTTTAAAAGAAATATTTATCGTTTCAGGGACATCATACAATAATGATGTGTTTTAATATTACACACGTGTTGACTAAATTATGCAAAAAAGAAGAAAAAAAACGAAAAACGGAATACATACATCTGAGATGGCTTTCAAATAAAATATCGTTGATTTCGATTCTTTATGACATAAGAACTTTTTCTTTTTACAATGTCAAATGTATATATGTACACATGTCTCATTTTTAATATAAATATATAAATTACTTAAGTTACACTACGACAGATGTACATTAGATACAGTATGTATTAAAGAAGTAAAAAAAAAAAAAGGATGACAAATCTTTTTATAATATAAAATCAAAAGGTTACTAATGAATTCATTTGATGCGGAGACAGATGTTGTCTGTCAACTGTTTATTATCATTCTATTGTTTGTTATATATTGTGCAATTGTATGTGTGAGGGCACGAATGGTTAAAAGTAGGCGTCAACAGGTGCTCAATCGTTTTAATACTATGACATCATCTGTCCTTACGGAACTTTCATTATCAAAACTTATTCATACTCATATCTACGTATTCATTGTAGTTGTTATTATTGTCAACATCAACAAACTTACTTGCATGTACAGATCAGACCACGAAGAAAAGAATTCGCTTTCACAATATTATTCATTCTTTCAACAAGTAGGAGTAAGTGTATTTTAAAATAAAAATGTAAGAAAGATCAGAATAATTAAGTCAATAGAATGAAAAAGCACCAACTATATGTTCATTTATAAACACCTACACATGAATGAATCTTTTCGAATTTAAACGTTATTTAGCACCTACACAAATGTATGTGTTTAGTCCAAACGTAAAAGAAAAATTAATATCATATTTATGTTTTTCTTTCTCGTCTTCATCCGCTCCATATCAGACATAGAACGAAGGTATTTAGACAGAATAGACAAAAAATGAAGGAAAAAAGCCTAAGAAAAGAAATGATGCAATATACAAGACATAGAATACAAGTGTAAAAAGAAAGAAAAAAGTTTATCTCTCCTTTTTTTTTTCTTGTATAGTCTGCACTGTCGCACCACTATCATTGATTATATCAGTGTGATTGTCAGGTTTTTGTCGGTGATTCTATGCTGTTATCTATTTATTGTCAAAACATCAAAAAAAAAATGACAACATTCATTTTCTTTCGCGTTCGCCTTGAATAACATGAGGAGAATGCTGAGTGACGACGGCCGTGTACTTGCTGCTTTTATATATCCACGCTCGATTAGGTAACGTGAGCACACGCATACAATCTCCACGTACGTATGCGACTGTACAAAACAGACGCACGTATATACATATACATTTTCTTTTTTTTTTTGCCTTCCTTTTAATAAACTGGCGTTATAGCAAACAGAAGTGAGTTAATATACAAGTCACATTTTTTTTTTCATTTTTATTCACTGAATAATCTATTCTTATTGTTACTTTGTTGATAATAAACAAAAGAATAGAAATTTTCAAGATGAACAATGATAAGATATAAAGTCAAACTCTATCAGATGTGACAATATGATGTTTTGTCTTTTGTTCATTTTTATGTGTTAAGTTAATTTCCCTTTTTTTCTTTCGTAGATCGTTGGACAAGTAGACTTGCCGAGACATTTATTCTTTGTTTAGTCACTACCTCCTCAGTCCGATAGTCCACAATCAATTGAATTATAATTATACGAATGTCTATATTTTCTATAGCAGAATACAATCGATTGTGTTTTTATTGCTCTGTCTCTCTCCGTCGTTCGGCCCGAACGAGCGACCAGACGGACGACGACCGAGTAGACAGACATATACACATTCACAATTCTTTGTTTGATCCCCTTTTGTATTATGATGGTGTCACGAAAAATGAGAACGAGAAATAGAGAGACTTTCTTACCACACACACTATTAATGTAGGAAAAAAAAAGAGAGAGAGAGAGAGGGAGAGAGAGAGAGAGAGAGAGAGAATGAAAGAAAGGAATGAGAAAAAGAAATTATTTGACCCTCACATGGTTTGTAGTTGAAACCGCCACTATCATCAAATATATTGTCCTTAAAAAGAGATTTACATATAGATGAAGTCTGTCCAAGGTTCATCTCAAATGGCAAAGATTTACAAACAAATGCGTAGTTATCATTTGTTACAGATGATTTGAATAATTCTTCAAGTCTTTTTTTTTACATTTAGATGTGAATTTTGATCGGTAATAATAACGTCATTATTCATACACATATAAGTATACATATACATACATATATATATAATATAAATATCATGAATTCATCATCATTTAATTCAAATGAACAAGAACAATCAGTGACAAATCTTGTTAAAATTCATTCATTATCACAACTACTTAAACGTGATCGAGAACAATTATTAACGCAATCACGTTCAATAGCATATTATCATCCAAATATCGATCGAGATAAAGCCGAACTATTATTACGAGCTAAATATACACGTTATAAACGTGATGGTTTATTTTTATTACGAGATTGTACAACATCACCACATGATTTTAGTTTATCAATTGTTTGTGGTGATAAATGTTATCATTATAAAATACAACTTATTTATGACATCTATTTTTCTATTGGTATGTTTTATATAAAAATAAATCATTATATATTATTATTATTTATTTTTCTATGATATGTATACATATATAGACTCAGGTCCTCAAATAGCCGGTATAGAAAGTTTAATAAATTATTATCAACAACGTGCTGATGGTCTTGCTTGTATTCTTTCCAGTGATTTTGTTCAAGGTCAACCACCACCAACTGCTGCTCGACGTTTAGGTTCAACAAATACATTACATCGAGCATGTAAACAAGGTAATTTTGAAATAGTCAAAAAAATTCTATCACCAGAAATATTAATTAATCGACCTGATGTTAATGGGAAAGATGCATTTGGATCTACAGCACTTCATGAAGCAAGTTATTTTGGTCATGATGATATTGTTCGTTTATTAATTAAAGCTGGTGCTCATGTTCTTGCACGAGATACTGATGGTGCTACGGCTTTACATAAAGTAAAGAACAATTTAACAAAATAATCTAAAGAAGAAGAAAAAAAAAACGAATCAATTGATTCTATTTTTAGGCAGCAGCCAGTAATCGTCCATCAACATTACTTATTTTAATAACTGAAGGTTTTGCTGATTATGAAGAACGTAATTATACGAATCATTGGGTACCTTTACATGAAGCAGCTTTTCATAATTCAACAGCTTGTGTTCAAGTTTTACTTGATTGTGGTGCTCCACTTCGTCCACGTACAGATCAAGGAAAAACGCCACTTGAATTAGCTGAAGAAGTTAAATCTGATGAATCAATTAGTTTACTTCGTGAATATAAAATTTCACCAGCAGAATCAAATCGTATCGATTGGTTACATAATGAAACAACATTTGATCGTCTTGCTGCTAAACAATTAATTGAATCAATTAAAACTGGTCAACGTAATGGAATGTTTGTTGTTCGTCATAGTTCAAAAAATCTACAAAATTATGCTTTAACAATTTATAATGATAATGAATTTTTTAATTATGAAATTATACATCTTAATGATACAACATATTATATTGATGATGGACCTTATTTTGATACACTTGAACATTTAATTGATCATTATTGTCGAATACCAGATGGTTTACCAACAACATTAACATGTTCAATAAATTCTATAGGACAAATAATTAATAGTCGTATTCAACCATTTTCATTATCATCTGCAATTAATAAAACTAAAAGTAAATAAATTATTAGAATTTCAATATACATATGTATCGGTATTGGGAAAGAAAAAGGAGTTAGACTTAATATTCTCATAGAGCACAGAATTCTCTACAACTCGATGAAAGCATGATCATCATCAGACTCTCTGAAAATATCTTTTTTCAAATTTATGTAAATATAAGAACAAACTATTACAAAAGTAAGTATATGAAATTCTATATCGTCTTGTACTTTTGTCAATCTTGACTTTTAACTACTTGATGACAAGTATTTCAAATATTGTTAATATATTCATATACTATATACCTAGATCAAGTGTTGCAGAAAATTTGGATCATATCTTAGTACACAGTAGTTCATTTAAGACACCAAAAAAAAATCTGAATAATATTAAGATCGAGACTAACAAATGAATAATTATCCATACATCTTATTTGATATTCATGAACTGCTGTATAAGTTATATGATGAAGGTGCTTGAGTGAGAGTACATTAACCATATTCGAAATATTTTTCATCAAATCATTTAAAAGTCAAGACTGGTAAAAGTATAGATTGATAGAGAATTTCAAGCACTTTCAGAATATAGACTTATTTTTGTAATAGTTTATTCTATTTGAAAAAGGAACCAAAAAAAAATAAATACATTTTCAGAGAATCTGATGATAATCGTGCCTTCATAGTACTTAAATTTCTATTTTTAATAAACAAGTTTAATTCAAAATGTACATATATGAAATTATAGAATATTCTGTGCTCTATCAATAAATATAATTACTTTAGTAAGAATATTAATTTATAGCAATGATATGTTAAATATATTAAGTCTAACTATATTTTTTTTCCGCAGGGATATACAAGATATCCCAAAAGTACATCGAGAAAGTTAACGTAATTTTCTCTTATATAATTCGAGCGATTTAATTGATTTTTTTATTTTAATAATACGTAATTATCTTCTTTAGAATTTTTTTTTCTGTATATTTTCAGAAAAATATCTGTGTCGATAAACATTAGAATAAAAATTGTTTTTTTAAATGATCAAATTTGAGTTATCTATGCTTGTGAAACGAAAACTGCAAGTCGAGTTCGACTAAAATACATCAAATGAAAGTAATAGTTCAAACACTTGATTGTTATTCATTTTTCACAAACATCATAAATTTCATCGGCTTTTTTCTTTTGTAATTTTTGACAGTCTTTCAGAACGTTTTCGAACTTACACTGTACCAATTTCACAAAAGTATTGAAATTTAACTTTAATAGAATTTTCATTTGGTGTATTTTTTGCCGAAGTCGACTAACACTTTTCATTTTACAACCATCGATCACTCAAATTTGGTTATTTAAAAAACAATTTTTATTCTAATGTTTATTGACACAGACATTAACCGGAAAATATGCAGAACATACATATTATAAAAAGATAAGTAGGTCACTTGAGTTGCATCAGAAATACTTATGTTAATGTTTTCAATGAACTTTGGAGACATTCTATATATATATAATTATTATTTTATTTAGATAATTTAATAAAATCTAAACAAAATTCCAATCGACAAACAAATAATGAAGATGGCAAAACTACTCGTAAAAAGAGTCCATCTATTAATCTTAATCGTCGTTCAACATTTTCATCAACATTAAGTGGTTCTGTAACATCACTTAATTCATTATCATCACGTTCTCGAGCATCATCAACTCATGAAGATCCATTATCAACATCATCATCTAGTGCATCACTTTCAAGTAATAGTCCATCTCAACATCAAGCAGCGTCATTATTAAATGATCGAAATCCAATAACAAATACAACACCATTTGTTGATCGACGAAAAAATGTTGGAGGTAAAATAAAACCATTTATACCAGATTTTAATAATGATAATGAACGACGTTCGACAAAAATTTCTAATGGTAAAAATTCAACATCAATTAAACGATCAACAATTCCTGTTCTTCAAGTACAAAAACGAAAATCATTACATTTAACTATTATATCACCAAGTCAAATACAACAAACAGCTAAATTAGGTAGAAAAGAAAACAAAAACTTCTAGATAAATTTTATTTTTTTTTTTTTGTTGATTTAGGTGAAGGTGAATTTGGTGAAGTTTATGAAGGTTTTTATCGTGAAGATTTAAATAATCCAACTGGTATACCAGTTGCAATTAAAATTTTAAAAGATTATTCTTATTCAGCAAAAAAAGATTTTCTACGTGAAGCTGAACATATGGCTACATTAAATCATCATTGTATATGTACATTATATGGTATTGTTGATTCAAGTGATGATAGTATGATGATGGTAATTGAATTACTTTTACTTGGTTCAATGCTTGATTATTTATGGAAACATAAAAATTCCATAGGTGAAAATCGTTTAAAATTATGGGCATCACAAATTGCTGATGGTATGGCATATATGGAACGTAAAGGAATTGTTCATAGGTAAAGAAAAACAAAGAAATCTTTGAATTAAAATCAAAATTATTTCTAGAGATTTAGCTGCAAGAAATATACTTATGCAATCAACAGATCAAGTTAAAATTAGGTATAATGAAAAAGAAAAAGAAATGAGAATTTGAAATAAATGATTTGAGTTTTTTTTTTTTTTTCTTATAGTGATTTTGGTCTTTCAAGACGTATTGATGCTGATGTTTATATGCAAAAATCTGACAGTAAAATTCCAGTTAAATGGTAAAAATTACTTTTTTTTATAATCGTTTTCATATTTAATTGTTCCGTTAATAGGTATGCACCAGAAGCAATTAGTATCGGTAAATTTACTACAAAATCTGATGTTTGGTCTTTTGGTGTTACTCTATGGGAAATGTTTTCTTATGCAGCAACACCTTATGGTTCGTAGGATATAAATATGAATGAATTTTGAATTTCATTTAAAAAAAAAAAGAAATAAATTAGAATTTGTTATTATCTATGGTGTAGAATACGTAGTAGAAACAAAGATCTCTTTATTTATTCTTCATTTCTATAAATACTTCGTGACATAAAACCTTCCCCATAATAGAACACACTCCTTAATTGATTAATTTCTTAAAAAATTGACTTTTTAATTAATATATTTACATCAAAATATGCCTAGTTCTCTGGATTTTGAACTGAAAATCTTAAGCTAAAATCAGCATTATTTCTGAATTCTTAAATCCCTAAAAAATATCTTCCAAAATCTTTATAATCGATTTGAGTTTTCTGAAAAATCCTTTTAATAAAAAATTCTGAAAATAAATAAGACACAATAAAAGACCCTTCCTGAAAGCTTGTACCATGATCACTTGCGAATCGAAAGAAATAATGTTAAAATCGAAATTTATGATTGATATGAAGTTACTACAGTAGACTTATGAGGAGAGATCTCTATGTGATATCAACTTGCAGTAAATTTTTCCTACAGGGTTCCAATTTCCAAGTAAAATTATGCAAACAAAGGTTCAACAGATCAAACCACTCTAGGATATTTACCTACTGACTAGGCTCTCTTAATTGCTCATAGTATTAAGTTAAAAGTGATTTATCACTTGGGTTATTCCCTCATAACAAATTTCATTTCAGTAAATCATAACATAAAGAATTTTGAGTTCATTCAAATCTATTGTACTAACTTCACATCGATAGTTTTTGATTGAATAAAGATTGTATTTCATTTTTTAATTTTAAAATAATTTTCTTTTTTTTTCTTTTAGGTGATATGAGTGGTACTGATGTATATTATTTTTTACAACATGGAAAACGTTTAGAACGGCCATCACGTTGTCCATCATCAACATATCAATTAATGCAAAAATGTTGGGAATGGGATGAAAAAAAACGACCAACATTTTCTGAACTTTTACAATTATTAAAAAATGATTCTGATTATCGTGATACAAATAAAACAATTCCAATAACTACAACATTGTTAAGAAAAAAACCATTAAAACTAACATTAAGTTCATCAACATTAGTTGATGAAAATAATGATCATAATGATGAACAGAAAAATGAACAGTATAAAATAAATGGTAATGGTAATGGTCATGTATCAAGAACAATAACTCAATTTCAACAAGCATTAAATAAAGAACGAACAAATTCTTAGGTAGATAATAAACATTTATTCTCGAATTCCAAATTATCCCAAACCGGTTTTTTACCTGTGAACAATTCTATTATTGGCTTTTTCTGTACATTTAAAATAAAAATCCAATAGGATAGAAACAAGAGAAAAAAAATGAAAGAAATCTGTTGTTTTTCTTTTTTTTTTTTGGGCGGAACGAGTTTGTTTCTTTTTTTCTTTTTGTTTGTGTTCATATTTAATAACAAAATATAATAATGAAAGATATTTTGCTATTTTCTTTTAAAATGATACTAAGGTTAATATAAACAAAAAAAAAAACTAACAAAACAAAATAAAAAACAAAATGAACATTCTTATTTTACCTTTGTGTTTTTATTCTAAAGATATATTAGAAAATTGAAAAAATAAAAATTCTGTTTATGCAACTTCTGTAGTTTCAATATCTTTATCAAGATTTGAATATTGTCTATATATATCGTCTGGAACAGATCGATTTGCTACTTGTGTTTGATTTGTTGGTAAAAGTGTAGTATTTACATTTATATCATCAATTTCTCTATTAAGTGATTCTAAATAAAGTTTATTATGATAAGCTATTCCACTATGAACTAATATACAACCCATAATAAGTAAAAGTAAAGCCAATAAAATAGATATTAAATCATCAAATTGTGAATATCGACTTAATATAGGTATACGATCCCATAATATTAATGGTAAAGCCATAATAATACCAATAATTGAATTTAATGCTTCAGCCATTAAAGATCTTGAATTAAGTTTTTTTGAAAGAATTATTTTAATAATTGATAAAACAGTAAATATAATTATATGAGTTATAGAATAAACAAGTAAAAGCCAATCACCTGTTGATGATTGTGGAACAATCATTGATTGTATAGCACGAGATTCAATAGCTAAAAATGAACCGATAAAAAGTGCACCTATAACACAACATACAAGATAATCTCGTCGTTTAAAATCATCCATTGTTTGAGCTAATAATAGAAAGAATATTTTATAAAATTTTAATTTTAATTTTTATCAATCTATACCTTTTAAATGCCAAGCAACAAAACAAATACAAATTGCATCCATTAACGTATCAATCGAATAACTTAAACCAACAGATGATTTATCAAGCATACAATTTATAAATGCTGTCAAACCAAGTATAATATCAAGTATAATTGTAAATACACAAATACGATAAGCAATTGTTTGATAACGTTTAAATGATTTATCTCGACTAGAATCATCTTCAATAACAATTGTTTGTCCATTATTATTTAAATTATTATCTAATAGTACCATATTTTATTTTTTGTTGTTTTTTGTTTATTATTATTTACAATACTATTCGTTGCAAATAATGTAGCACTATTGGTATATGACTATTATATATAATGATGTATGATCAATCGTGCGTATCCAAGCTCACGGTTTGATGTAAAGAACGAGTATGAGGAAAAAAATACCCATCATATCGTTACAAAGTATATTTTATGTATACGAAAGGAAAAAAAACCGAAATATTCCAGTGTCTCTTTGCCTTATTTTTCAGGTTGATGATGAAACATCATTGAAATATATATTTTATAACATTTTCTGAATTGTATTTATTAAAAAAATAGAATCAAAATAAATAATATTCATGTGAAAATTTTTTAGTTGTCTAAGATCGTTTTTTTTTTCTTTTATTCATATATTTAATCAAGTAATAATGAACGACAACTACATTAGTATTTTTATAGTACAGATATTTATTTATTAGCAAATATGTATCATGCAAACATTAATGGAACATTGAAGCAGGAAAACATTATTGATGTTTTACTAAGAGTAAAAGAAAAAAAAAAATGATTACTCAAAATTGTAACAATCAGTCAAAAAAAAAAAGAAGAAATTATGACTATGTTGTATGAGTTATAGTAATTATTTGCTTTATAAAGAGAAATGACTGATTTATATCAATATAAAGAATGTATACAATATTAGACATCACGAAAGAAAAATTACTTAGTTCCGTTCATTATGACTATAATGAAAAGTGGTAGATAGACAGATTTATATTTTCTTTTTTTAGATTCAAAAGAAATCTTTGTTTTTATGACTATTCTGATTTTTTGTATAGTATGATGGTAAGTTAGAATCTAATTTATTTGTAAATAGATTAGAATTTCATATATTAATATAATATTATTGGTAATATAATAGTTGAGCCTTCGATAAATTAAAATATCACCATAACAAAGAATTTATTAAATATATGAAAACTATATTAAAAACCACCTAGAAATCAAATAAAGCTTTCGCTCGTTTCAAATAACATATCCTGGTATATATATGAAAATTACTGATTTAATGTTGTAGCTGTTCGTCCTTTTCTTCATAAAAGACACATTGAGTTAATTATACGATTCGAGTTTCCAGTTTCTCGGCAAAAATTAAATTAATATGCTGTTCACTTTGAAAGCTTTTGATAGATTCGTAAGGATAGGCGTTAGTAACTTATTTATATCGATGCATGGAATATTACTTAACTATATTGAACAATATATACATACATACATATATATATATGCATAGCTTATCACTTTTTGTTGATCAAAATTACGCACGGAAAACTCATCTGTCAGTATATCCAAATTACTGGAAAAAACATATGAATTCATGTCCATGACGAAGCCATATTAGATGTAGTAATAGTATGAGTTTGTTTATTTCTAGAGATGATGATCTCAATTTGCAGCTGTTATTATAATGAATGCATTAAAGATTTATAAATCTTGAAAAATTGAATAATATATATAAAATACATTTAATTATATGATAGATAAATTAAATATATAATTTTTTAATATTAATTTACTTTAACTTTGTAACTAATTTTTAAATAAATAGTTAACATAATTATTCAAACAACAATATAGTTTATCAATCAATATTGGTTAACATAATCAATATCGTTCATTATATTCTTTTTATTAATACTTTTATAACTTTCGAATGTCATGAACATATATAAGTATACATTCGATTATTCGTTTATCTATCTTCTTCTCTACCGGATGTCGAAACTCTCCCGGAAGCAACATACATAGTAGGGCATGCTCCCATATATTTTACGCCTAATTTAATTCACATCATCAAACTATAGATAATAACGATGTATGATAGGAAAAGAAAAAAATATAGCAAAAGTTATTATTAGTTGATTCAAACTTCTTTTTTTTTTTTATATGTAATGATTGTATACATAGTTGTAGACTATAGATCTATTTGTTATATGTGTGTGTATATGTGCTATAAAACAAATGATGCTACGGGTATATTAGTGACGAATAGCGAGCGACATGTGTTGATGCATATATATATATATATTAGAAGTGCTTGCATGCATTCAAGAACAATCGTCGATCAGCAACGGCAACAGCAAGAGCAATAGTAGTAACGGCTGCAATGCACGACACTGATAAGTATTGCCAATTGTAATTGTCATTCTTTTTTTCTTCGTCGTTGTCGCATTCGTTCTTTCGTCGTTTCTTGCCTTTCTTTTTTACATTCTTTCTTCAGTTTTTTCCGCTGCTACTTCATTATCTCGAGAGACATACAAAGAATAGAATGAACTAGCATCAGAATAAACTGTTGAGTTCATTTATTCATTGAGAATCATATACAACTTATGGAAACTAACTAACTATGCATTGAACATGATGATATAACGCGTAGTTTTTTGTTTTGAAATAGATAGATAGAAAACAGAAGATTTCTTTTTTCTTTTCTTTTCTTTTTTTTTTTATTGTTTTTTCTCTCTCCAATCTTGAGAGGTTTGACTCGAACTCTGTTTCCGGTGTTGCATATTAGTAGAAATGATGGAATTGAATAGAAAGAAAAAGAGCGTGGTACATGGATAGTTCTTTATATATATACAAAGGCTTATTGTGATGTTCCAGATTTTTCTCGTTTCGACACGCAACAAACACAATACACACATATAAAAAAAAACCTAGTTTTCTAAGTAGACTCTTGTAAGTTTTGTCTATTAGTAAACGATTTTTTTTTCTTTTTCTTTTTTTAATACTTTAGCGTAGACTAATTATACGAAGCTTGCTTTTCTGTCTCTCTCTCTCTCTCTCTCTGATGTTTCTTTCTATCATCACTTGTCGACAACATTCTTTTCTTTCTTTTTTTTTTCCTCTGTTTTTTTCTCTTTAGTAATCTAGATGATAGTGATGTTGCCCGAGTCAATCACGTCAATGACGTTGCATGTTGACGTAACTCTTGGTTTTCTTGCTATCTATCAATCTTACCATATTTTTAGATGTGATGAGCCCAAGGCTTTTATTATTTTCGTATGGTTGCCACAAACACGTGATGACGCATATCACTATAGTTATTAACAATAACATTTTATTTATTGTGGGTAAGCCTATTAGTCGAAGAGAAAAATGAAACATGTTGCAATATAGAATAATACCATATGCTTTATTTTCATAGATTGAAGTTTAAAAAAGAAAATGCATGATCGTTATCAATCATATCCAATCGAAGTCCTTTTCGAAGATCATGTAACATTGAGTGATGGTCGTTCTAAACCTCATCTTGTTTTACTTCAATTAACATCAGAAACACTTATCATTCGACGCCTTAAAACAACTCAAGTATCATCGATTAATAATAAACAAGTTCAAACAATAGTACCACGTAAAGTTACTCTTAAAAGACATCCAACAACACATTCACTTGGTTTTTCAATTAAGGGTGGTAGTGATACGGGTAAATAAGAGGCAAAAAGAAAAAATAATTTAACAATTATATTTTTCATCGATTTGCCTTTGATTAATAGGTTTTCCCATTCTGATTTCTCGTGTTGCTTATACAAATGCACATTTATTACATGTTGGTGATGCTATTTTATCTATTAATAATGAAAATATATTAAATTTAACTCATGATGAAGTTATTACTAAATTACGAGATGTATCCGGTGATCAAGTTAATTTAACTGTTCAATATATGAATGATATGGCTCCCTATTTACATTCAACAACAACAACAGCAAGATCATCATTATCATCAATAATACCAATAGTACAAACTAGTTTTACATTACCGACATCATCGTCTGTTAGACTAAGGCGACAACAAAATCGTATGTCAGCAGAATATCCTTCGAGCTATCATCGATCGGGTAAACAACAGCAACGTTTATCATTAATGCTTTCCAATCAACAAAAAGTAAGAATATTTCGAATAACACAATAGACGTCAGACTATATCATTGAGATCTATACAATGAATAGAAGGAAAAAGAATGTACTCCAATTAATATATCTAGATTTCTATGCATTCTTAGTCTAGATTAATGAATAGAAATATGTAATATATTATCATAATTTACGCATAAATTACTTATACAATATAAGAAAAATAAAAGAATTATTGTTGTAGAACAAAAATGATGATAAATATTGAAAGATAATAACTAGATTAAAGATAATTATTTATTTTAGAATACTGATGAATATGAATTACTTAGTCGATTATTATTATGTGAAAATGAGAATGAACGATGTCGACGTCAATTAGAAGAATTTGCAACAGAACAACAACAACAACAGCAACAACAAACAGAACCAATTACTACATTAATAGATGAAGATGATGAAGATAATTCAACAATCGATTATGTATCAGTACAAGAATATTCTCTACTTTATGCATATGTTACTCAATATATAACTAGTACAGATAAATTACGTACTAATTCTTTTCAATTACGTACTCTTGATGGTTCTCAATCGGGAATAATTATAAATGATACATCTGTACAACAACATTTATGGATATCACGTATTAATACAATTATACATAATCTAACAACACGTACAATAAATGAACTTAATCAAACATTATTACCAAGTGAACAAGTACTTTATGCAACTTGGATACATGAACGTATAACAAATATTAATCAAAATCGTTTACCAGAATGGAAACCTATATTTATTGTTTTAAAAGGTAGTGATCTTTATATATTTGATGATAATAAACCACCACCATTATGTTCATATGATTTTATATGTTGTTCACGTATATATCCAATTGTTGAAATACTTCTTGAACAAATATTATTAAAATATTTACGTGATGATAGACAATATTGTTTTACATTAACATTATCAAATGATTTAATAACAAAATGTCGTTATTTAAATTTTGAAACTAAAAATGAATTAGATGAATTTTTATTAAATTGGCAACGTTCATTATATATGTCAGTTTATGCACTTAAAAATCGTGCATTTGGTTGTACATATCAAGGACAAATATGTCGTTTAATTATTGATATATATAAAGGTTTTGAAATGTATAATAATGAAACAAATATAATTCTATGGTCATTTACATTTGAACAATTACAATCAAGTTCTGATAATGGACGAGATAAAATTTTTTTTGAATTTAAACGTAATTCAATATCAAATGATAATGAACCAACAATATATATTGAAGTACAATGTCAACATTTAAGAATACTTGTTCATGTGATTAATGCATTTTTAACAATTAAATTAATTGGAAAACAAGATAATGCAAATGATTAAGAAAATATTTCCAGTGATGATATGTGTCTTTTTGTTTGTTTGTTTTTTTTTTTTGTTTCTGTAAGAATATTTTTATTTTTTACAAATAATTATAATGAATAATGCATACAGTTGTGGTGTTATTGATTGCAAATAAAAAAAATGTTGTATTATTCCAGAATTTCAATTAAAAAAAAGTTAGTTTTTATCTTAATAAAATTTAGTTTTTGTTTAAATATAATTTTATCAAATTTCAATAGTGTCTTATCCACAAACGATGTATCAATATCCAAATATGTACCAGTCATAGATTTTTTTTTGTGTTCTTTAAACAAAACAATACTTTATACTTGAATCTTTATTGAATTGTTTTCAGTTAGGACTCAAAACTGATTAACTACTGTATATATGAAATGTATATTTTTTCAACTGTTTCTAATGAGGTCTAGATGCATATAAACAACCCCCCTGCTGTCCTATCTGATTTCATTAAACGGCATTTTAATGATAATATTACGAAGGATGCGACTTTTCTAAATAGGAACAACAACAATATAACAAAAAAAAACAAAAATTATTTTACAAATTAATGTAAAATATACAAACAAATTAGATTAAGAGTTCTCTTGGAACTAAGGTTTTCTTAGATAAATTTCTACGACCAAATGAATTACGTAAGCCAACTGCAATCTATATAATAAGAAATAAAATTTTAATATCTTTTAAATAAATAATTCTTACTAAATTAAGTAAAAAAGTAATAATAGCTGCTAATACATAATTTGATGAAATAAAATCAATGAAGAGAAAAGTAATCGTATTCCAAATAAATAAAGAATTTTCTTCACCATAAAATAATATTTTTGTAAAAATTTTTTCATTATCTTTAAGCAAAAAAAAAACAGAGATAAGGTTATAATTTAAATTTTTTTGAATAAAATTTCTTTTTTTTTTTACCAATAAATAATAAATTATCCATATTTCCTGATAAACCAGAATTTAGACTAGTTTGAAATTCATAATTGAAAATTTTTTCAAGAAGATATCGATTTCGAATAAAATATTGATATGTTGGCAATGAACGATCAATATATGCACATAAAAATCTATTCAAATTTTGATAAGATTGAAATAAAATATCTGTACGACGTTCTATATCCTTTCGTTTTCGTCGTGGTCCAATAAAATCCTAAACAAAATAGAAAAAAAATCACTAAATTCGACATCTTATCTGATACTGGTAGATTTTAAACTCAATAAGAGAAACAATTACATCGAAAAATAATTAACTATAGAATCCCGATGTCTTATCTTTATGATTCGATAAATTATTCTGAATTGTATATCCCATATAATATAACTCTAAAGTTAACTTCAGAAAGGATTTTCTAATTTCTTACATAATATTGTCGAAATAATAAATCATATTGTGCACGAAATGTTTTATTAATCTTCATAATAAATATTTGTTCTATTGAATTAGCTTGTAAACCTCGTGTACCACTCATCGATCTTGATTCACGTTCTAAATTCATAATTATATCTTTAATATTAACATCACTTATACCATGTGGTGAACGACCATGAATATAATATCCATGATAAATTTGATCAAGAATAATAATACTTATATTCGATACAGAACATAAATCAATAAAATTAATTATTTTATCTCCAATTAAACGTTGATAAAAAATTATATAAAATAAATATTGTATAATAGCTATTATAAAAATATGAAATATGAAATTATAATAAGAATAATACTTGAATATTCTTACCCGTGCCAAGTAACACAAGAAAAGCTGTACCAATACGAAAAACACTATTATATTCCATAGTACAATTAGCTGTAAATGATGACGATGGAAAGAGAATAATATCAGTGTCAGCTAAAGCTATATTTTCTAAATTGATTACCTATAAAATAAGTTAAATAAGAGAAAATTTTGAAAAATAAATTATCTACTTTGAGAAAGAATAAAACAGATAAAAGATGAAATGGTACATGAATACGACGAAATGTTTGAATTTCATTAAATTCATTAGCTACAAAACATGTTCGCCAAGCAGAGACAGTATTCGAATCACCTAGAAAAAAAAAATAACGACGAATCAGTCATTAAAGATCCATATGATATTTATGAGAGAACATATTTAAGTGTCCTGTATAGAAATGACATGAGGTCTAACCTATCTTCCAGAGAATTTTTTGGTGTTCACAAAGAGGGACTACAGGAATTTATTAAATTTATCTATTGATAACACATAATAAATTTTAGTTGTTCCAAAAGAAAGTTATAGTTAAGAAGAGTTGCCCTTACTGTCGTTCTTACCTTCACACTCAACTAGACACTTGTTCTCAGCCTAATCACTTTCGTCTGATGATAAAATATATAGCAATATTTAATAAAGAAAAAAGTCCTCATTAATCACAAAAAAAATCCCCAGCCGTTGTACTTGACTCGAACAAGAAAGCTGGGTGGCATTGACTCGAGTCACTAATTCAAAAAAGCAAAAGCTGATAATTCAACATCAAAATCAGTTGCAGAAGAAATCGATGATTTTCTACAAGAACACAATTTAACTAGTAATCTTATTTTTCAAAAACAAAATTCATATCAATCTCTTAATAAACTTGCTAAAAAAATATATGTATGTTGAAATTTTCTCATATCTAACATAAAATAATCTTTCAAATTATATTTATTAACCTGTTTTTGATCTTTCCCAATCTATAAAGAAAATATCTATTGTTGTTTGTCGTAAAATAAGATGAATAATATCTACTGTTTTAAGTATAAATGAAACAATGAATAGAATTTTAAATATATTTTGTTGTGAACTTGTTTTTGATTCAAATGTACTATCATATTGTTTCTAAAAAAAGAAAAAGAGAGGCAACAAATTATATATTATGAATTAAAATATCATAGAATTGATTATTTACCTTAAAAAAAATTAACCACCAAACTGAAACACCAGCCATAACAAGAAAAATAACAGTAGAAAGAATACCAAGAAAATGAAGTAAAAATTTACCAAGTGTCTATAAACAAAATAAAAAGGTTTAATTGCTGTATATCAATATAACAACAATAAAACCAAAAGAAAAACACGCAGATACTTACTGGTAAATCAATGATCTCTTTTCCCGATTTTGAAAACCATGCCCATGTTTGTATTGTAGCAACAATCATACCTAAACCTGATAAAGTTCCTAGTACAATCCAAACATTACGAGTATGATTTTCAAGATCCATTTTATAGTAAAAAAATTTATTGATATCTATTTGAATATAAAGAAAAGAAAACATGTTAGTGGAATGAGGAAAAAAAAAGACATTGAATTTATGAGCAAACTTGACAACAGACATACTGAATCTATATATATATATCATCGATAAGAACGCTTGCTAACTAACATTTTTTCTTTTCTCGTCTCTCATTCTTTCTCTTCATTCACTTTATTGATAGTAGTGATAGCAACTATCGATTCGATCATAGTTTAAAATGGTTATAGACAATTGGGACTGATTTTTTTTTTTGTCTTTGAATAATCAACTTCTCGATTTGAGTGATCTACATCGTTTAAATACTTTCGGACATTTATATTATGATTTATATCGGTAAATTTATTTCTAATCAAAATTTTCCGAAAGAAAAATAATCTTAAGTAAATTAATATATATTTTAAAATGTGATGTATTTGACGTAACTTAATATTTATGAACATGAACAAATGAATGAGTAGAAAAAAAAAAGCATACATCACGATCGACTAACAACAATTTGTAAATTTTTCATCGTTCAACAATTAAAAAGGTATGTTTAGATAGAATTAATAGAGAAAGAAAAATTGACGACATGTCTTTTGAACACCAAAAAAAAAAGATAATTGAGTACCATATTAGGTAAGTGTGAAAAGAGCACCAAAAAATAAGACAAATGAGCACTAAATTAGTTAAGTGTGAAAAGAGCGCCAAAAAATAAGACCAATTGAACACCAAATTCAAACATGTGAAATAAGAACAAAAATTTTTATATTAATAACAAAAAATAACAAATAGGATACATAATAAATATGAATACGAAATCAATATACGAAAAAAACAAAATGAAAAGTCTATTTTATAATAATAAAACAGATCGTACTTTTTTTTTCTCGACCTTGTGCTTGTCGTTTACCTAAAAGTTCCGAAGGAGTTTTATTAGTTAATTCATAATGTTTCAGTAATATTGCTAAGCCAGCTGAATGTTTGCATAAATATAACTCCGTGCCAGTTGGACATGTACATGATTTGAGTGGTAAAACTAGCAAGCAGGATGTAGGTGTAAGGAGGGGACCTACTCGCGCACTCATACCTATATCCACGCCCTTGATTAGCTTTATTGAGTGTTTGAACAATATTCAAAAGTTGATATTCTTTGTTTGGCATTTTATGGTTCTCTACAGAGATGTGTATTATTAAAATTCTCAAACTTGTCGTATATATACAGCGTTACTCGTTTGTGTACCATAATTTACAACAAGGAATGAGATTATACAATTTGAGTTGAACTGGTCACAACTTAGTATCTGTATATATCCGATTAATACTTTGATTCTTTTAAAATAGAATTGATTTATTTCTTTAATATCTTTTTTTTTGTTTCATTTTGGTGCTCAACTGTCTTATTTTTTTAATGCTCATTTCACATATAACTAATTCGGTGTTCAATTGTTTTTTTTTTTGGTGCTCAAAAGACACTTTTTTCCAAGGACAATTTCATTAGAATTGAACAAAAAAAAAACAAACGTGTTGATGCTTTATAGTTGATTATAATTGTCGACATATATTATGTAATAAGCGGCATTTTTTTTTTGAAATATGAAAAATCAATCATCAATAGACACTGATTAAAAGTGGACAACTTTTATAGAGGTAAGCGATTTTCTAGATGATATAATTTCATGCATTCTGAACTTGAATAGTTTATTGATGACAAGATTTTATTTGAATAATTTTTAATCTGTATAAGAGTGTAACTAAGAAGATCAATAGATTCTGTAAGCTGTATCCGAAATCTTATTTCTTTTTTTTGTTTTGTTTTTATATTAATAGAACAGACGAGTAGGTTTTATATGTAAATACCTATAATCGAATCTTACATTACACTGACAGATGAATTGATGTAGATAATATGATTTTTATATTTAAATAGAAGATACAGCTTTTCTATAAAAGTGCATATGACAGTTGTTACCTATGATTAATCATTCTTTTCGTAGAAGAATTTATATTGGTGTCTTTAAAATGTCAACATCAATTGAACTTTACATTATGAGAGCATGATATGATAATAATTACTCGCGATAATGATAAGACATCGTAAATGAAAAAAAAGACCTACTCATCAATTATTAAAAATTTTTGTTATTTTATATTTTTGTGAAATATGATCTAAAAGAAGTGTTGAAGTATGGAGGTAGAAATTTGAACTCTTCACTTCCCCGTATAAATGTGACAGACACATTAGAAACGACACTATATATCAATAACGTCTCGTTCTAATATATGAACTACTTCCTTATTGCATGTCTGAAGGAGTAAGTAAAAGGATGGTGAAGAAATGTGTTCCAAAATAGATAGAATAAAGCAACCTTCCTGTAATTAGGAGTAACAGCTGTTTCGTGTCTCACATTTTAATCCCACAGTAATTGAGCTAATAGCTGTTTTTTTTTGCTATGAACTTTTAACATTTGATTTTCATTCGTAAGATTCTTATTAATTTTAAAGTCAAACTATATTTTGAAGTAGTAGAACGAAAAAAAATTATCTATTTAACTAATATGCACCATATAGTTTAAGGTCCCTTCCCAACATCGATCTTGAATCAGGTATATTCACATTGCAGGAAATTTTCGTGCCAAATAAAGCAGATCTGTCCCTTTGCATTCTGTTTGATATTCAAAGCAAGTAATCAATACAAAAGTATCAGAATAGAACTTTGTTAGAATATTTTCTTTTTAAATAAATGATTATCGTAGTTACAAAGCGTAAAAGGCTTAAGAAAGTGTTTTAGACAATGTAATTAAAATCTCTAGAGAAATCATATCAAATATCCAGTTGATAATCTAAATATGAAAATCTTTTGTTCGAAATTTTTCTAAAATAAAGCTTTTAGCATATGATTAACAACACTATGACAACATAGAAAAATAGTTATTATCTTTTATCATTTTTTTTTTCTAATAATATTGATCAAAACAGTCTGAAATAGAAGTTTAATATGATGAATTTTATCTAATGTATATCGTATCGAATATTTTATTCATTGACAATAATTGATTAACCTTTTATTTTTATTGAATCAACAAAACATAAAGTATTATTTATTGAAATAAATATTTTTTTAAATAAATAGATGAAATAAATCTTAAAATGTTTAGAGCAAAATTTTCAAAATACCAGGAAACACAAATGAAAAATTTTCATGTATTACGAGGAAAAATAGATAAATGATCAAGTACAATGGTATCATGAACATTGACTCTAGTTCTTGTTGAATTATAAGCATATCTTCCAATAAGCATTCCAGCAGCATTATCTAATGCTAGTCCTGTAGATTTATCATCTGAACGACAATTAGTATAAACAGCAACAATTAGATCTCGACTAGGAGTCATCCAAAAGACGGTATCTTGTCCAAATATATCTCCACTATGTACTAAAGCTTGACCAGGTGTTGCCCAAGTACGATTATATGCAGCAACTCCTAGACCATAACCTTCCACACCAATAAATGGACGTTTAAGTTTAGCTGCTGTTTCATTACTTAAAAAACCAGTACTTTCACCAATAACATGTGCATGTAAGAACTTAGCCCAATCTTGAAGTGTACATGCAATATAACCACCAGGGCCTGTTGCAGCTTGATCATTATGAAGTAAGGTAGCATTAGGAACTGGCCGTGGAATAGGTACAGTATGCTTAAGAGGTAAATCATGACCGACAGGTGTTTTAGGTGGTATAATTTCATCATAGATTATACCAATTGTTGCACTAGTCATGTCTAGAGGAGTAAAAATATATTCTTGTATTAATGATTCCCAATCTCGACCAGTTATTTGTTCTATCATAGCAGCAGCAACAGCATAACCTTGATTAGCATAAAGATATTCACCAGGTTGAACTTCTGGTACATCTTTTAGAACAGTTTCAGCAACCCAATAACGAATTTGACGATATGTACCTTGTTGTGCTAATAATTCTTTTAAATAACGATTATAAAATGTAGTACTTTGTTGAACACCAGAACGATGTGCTAAGAATTGTTCTAAAGTAGTATTTCGAAAAGCACTATTAAAACTATTATAATTTGAAAAACATTCATTTATTTGTGTTGTCCATGATAGAATTTTTTTATCAACTAGACGACCAGCAACTGTAGCTGTCATCCATTTTGAACATGAACCAAGATTGATTGGATCTGTAACGAGTAGAGGTGTTGAATCACCTTGTCGACGATATCCTGATGCACCTTGTGCAATAATTTCTCCTTTTTTTAAAGCCAAAGCAGATAAACCAGGCATATTATAATACACACGAATAGGGGTCAAATCAACACTAACATCATCAGTACCAGCAACAATTCTGTAGTTTTTAACTTGTTGAAGAAAAAAAATAAGAATAATAGAGAAAATCATCTAGAAAAAAAAATTAATATGAAATAATATATCATTTACGTGTAATAAAAATAAATGAAACAAAGTAAACTGGGATGTTTTCGTACGTAATTATATCATATTTTAGCTATGATGCATTAGATGATAATAATAAAAAAAGAAACAATGTTATTACAAAGTTATAGAGCCCTAAATCTCTACAGTAAATTGAATGAAACGTTAATGCGCAAGGCTCAAATGAAAATTGATACCTCTCGTTTTCATACAGGCACAAATGATAGGTTTCAAATTTTTTTTATTTTTAAATAAAACTATATCAATTAATTTTTTTCATCAGTATTGTATTTGATTTCAGAAAAGAAAATAGGATTAAATGAGAATATCACAAAGATTCTTTTTCAAACATATTATTCTTAATTTGTTCTGTTTTATTAAGTCAATCAAATTGATAATCATATTTTTGATTATTAGAAACAATAATAGTACGTAATTGTCGTTTGATATAATTATAATCAAGTTGTTCGTCAAAAGTTAATGATTTAATATATATAGTTATAGTAATAATTTGTGATGGTAAATCTGAACATAATCCTTCGATAGATATTGTTTGTTTAAATTCAGCAATGTCTTCATATTTTTATTGTTTAGTTTTTGCTTTTAGACTTTGCCATGATAAAGAACCTTTTAAGAAATATAATAAACTATAGATAATTGATTCGGGATTATCTCGACGAGCTTGTTCAAAACCATGATGAGTATGTAATGAAGCACACCGACCTGTGCCTGTTAAACTTTTGCTGTGAATTAAATGACGATGAATACATGTGATGAAATCACGATATTGTTTTGTTAGACCAAAATCAACAAAATAAAGACTATGCGAATAGTGACCAATACCCATTTAAAAATTTAAAGAAAAATCAATAAAAATACTGCTAAGGAGAAGACTTACTATCAGGTTTGATATCACGATACAAAAAGAGATCGATCATGCATCTGTTTCGTTCAATTAACAGCTTGATCGATTATCATACAAGCTGTATATAAAGTAAAAGAACGATTACAAAAATGGAAAAGATCTTCAAGTGATGGACGAAGTAAATCCATAATTAAAACTTATATCGTTTTTTCTTGTTCATAATATATTATGTTGGAAAAGCCAATTGAATTTTTCATTCGTTCGAAAGCCAATTTTTCAACTATATAAAGTCATCTATATCCATGGTCAAAATAAACATTACATCTATTTTTTTCGAATATTTTTTTTTTCTGATATAATTCCTTACAAGGGAAACTCCTCAAATGTTCCCTTCCAATCTCAATAATTTTTTTCTCTATAGATATTAGATAGCACTCTAATAAAAATATCTGAAGAGATTTGGATCTCTATGAAGATTTGACTAGGCTATCGAATTTTTAATATGTCTGTTTTTTAGAGATCCCAAATTTTTGGAAAATTCGTATTTTCGAATTTTGATCTGAAACGTTGTGCATATAGAAAACTCAACTGGACTAGCTTCCATAAAGAAAGCTGACAAGTTTTGAACAAAGTCTCTTCGAAATATGAAGCTTTTAAACAATACATGTTGCATACACCAGAGTTGTAATTAGTCGAAGATTTTTGAACTGGTCAGGTTCGGTCAGTTCAAAAACGTTTTTAGACCGGTGAAAACTGGCCAATTTGTTGGATCATCATTAATCGGTTAATGGGAATAGCTTCAAAAACCATTTATTTTTCTTTGTGCACTCAGGTTTGTACAAATCTTCAGAAAGAAATATTGTGTTATGTAGTCGTCGATATCTGTTAGCTTTCTCAACAATGAATATGGGATGTATCTATATATATATCGCAAAAAAAGAGTAATCTATCCATTAATTGATTGCTAAATTCTCAATCTTATATTGTCTTGCTCTGACTTTTCAGATAAATCTAACGCCTCTCTTTTCGAACTACGATCTAAACTTAGATTTGATGTTCACCAAAACATATTTTAGCTCCAATAACACACTTTAAGTTATACTTTTTTACGAAATACAATATACTTCGAATAAAGAAATTAAACAGTGTGGACAAATGGAACAAAATAAAATTGCTAGTTCTTGAAAAAACGTTGTTTGATTGATCTGAGAAGATCAAGCAAACTTGTTCTCAACAAGTTTTGTGAGAGAAAAACAGCATATTTATAAAATATTTTTCAACTAGTACAAACCGGTGAAGAACAGTCGGTTCAACCATTTCAATTGGACCAGTTAGAACTCTCGTATACACTATTTAAGGAAAAGGGTCTATATCTTGAAAGTCTCATATCTCGAAAAGACTTTGTCTAAAACCTCTGAAATTTTAATGACAACTAGTCTAGTCAAGTTCTGTGCAGGCGTAAAATTTCAGATTAAAATTCGAAAATGCGAGTTTTCTGAAAACTTGGGACTTCTAGAAAATAGGCATATTAAAAAATTTGTTAGCTTAGTCAAATATCAATAGGTACTGAAATCCTTTAAATCGAAAGGGAATGCCTGAGGAGATCCCCTCATTAATCTCATAGTTATACTATAGATACATTTTTCTTTGTTGAATTTCTTCGAAAGTTTTTAGTTGAAATATTTCTTATCGTATCATCATCTCAGTTGAGACAATTGCTATGATAGAAATTCTATTAGTTTATTATGTAAAAATCTATCATTGACTACGTAACTGCGGCATAACAGCTTCTATACGTTTAGTTTTAACTGCAACCGACATATTTTTTATTAAATTATCAGAAAGGTAAATTTCGCCAAAACTTCCACCACCAACATCTTTCTTTACTAAAAATCTTTCTGCATTTATTTTAATTTCTAATTGTAGACTATCAAATTCACTATCATTTTCTTTTCATATGTTTGGATAATATTACATAAATGATTTGTTTTCTTATAAAAATTAATTCAACTAAATTTCTTTTTTATTCATATTATCCTTCATCATTAATTTACAACTATATTTTCGCTTTTATTTTGAATTCTATTGTTCTTGTTAATCATTTCATTTTCTTAGTATATTTTGAAGATCTACCAACACAAAAAAAAAAAAAAATTTTCGTCATTAGAATATTATAAATTAAGAAATACAATACGAAATATATTTATTATTTTAAACAGGTAGTAAACATACAAAAAACCACAACACTCAAAAGAACAAAAAAGAGCTTGTTAATAAACAAACACATAATTGAATCTAATATGAAATTCATATTAAAAAAAGAAACACAGATTTAAATAAGAAAATTCTTGGGAATTAATGTTTTAGCAGCTAAATTTCTTCGTCCGAATGATAAACGCATTTTCTCTGCAATCTATTATGAAAACAAAAAGAAAAATTCCAAAGAATAAAGATTTATTTTGCAATTTAAAAAGAAATTATTCTTACGAAATTGAATATATATGTAATAATTGCTGCTAATACATAATTAAATGCAAAATAATCAATAAAAAGAAATGTTGCTGCATTCCATATAAATAATGAATTTTCATGACCAGTAAATAATGATCTTGTAAAATTTTTTTCGCCATCTTATTAGACAAAAAAGAAAAAATTTCATTTTCTATTTCTTGGCTTTTATTTTACTTACCAATAAAAAGTCGACTTTCTTGATCGTTTACTGATAATGTCAATGAAGCAGGATTTTGAAATTCATGATTAAGAAGTTTTTCTAAAAACGATCGTCGATAAATAGTATATCTATCATTTGGTAATGAATGAGTAATAAATGCACATAAAAATTCATTTAAATTTCGATAAGATCTCATTAGAAGTTCTGCTTCTTGTTCACCAAGAAGATTTTTTACATTTCTACGTTGTTGATTCTAAATAACAATTTACAAAAAAAAAAAAAAAGTAATTTCCTAAACAATAATAATTTTTTTTCTTTCTGTCATACTTGATAATTGGAAATTAAAATATTATATTCTGCACGAAATTTGCTAGTAAGTTGAATAATAAATGTTTGTTCATCAGATTTTGCTTGTAAACCACGTGTACCACTCATTTGATTTGATTCACGTTCTAAATTCATTATCATTTCTTTCATATTAACATCAGTTATTCCATGTGGTGATAAACCATGAATATAATATCCATAGAGATTATCCGTAAAAATAAATACACTTATATTTGATACAGAACATAAATCAACAAAATTAAGTATACTATCTTCAATAAAACGTTGATAGAAAATTACATAAATTAAATATTGAACAACAGCTAAATAAAACAAAAAAAAAAAAAAAAGAAATCGGTTTTTTTGTTTTTGATTGAAGAGAAATTTATAAAAAAAAAATTGATTTTTATACCTGTTGCAAGCCACATTGAAAAAGCAATACCAACACGAAGAATACCATTATATTCAGGTTTATAGTCAGCAATTGATGGAAATAGATTTACACCTGCTTCCATAGTAGCTATATTTTCTAAGTTAATTACCTAGAGAAAGAAAAACAAAACAATAAATCTTTCTTAACATTAAACAAAAAAAAAAGAATAAAACTTTTTATTACTTTAAGTAAAAATAAAACAAAGAATAATTGAAATGTAACATTAATACGACGAAATGCTTGAATTTCTTGAAATTCATTTGCAACAAAATATGTTCGCCATATAGAAACAGTATTTTTATATCCTAAAATAATTAATTATTATTATAATTACAAATAAATAATAATTTATTTTCTTTATACCAGCTTTTGGTTTTTCCCAATCAACAAAAAATATATCTGCAGATGCTTGACGAAATATTAAATGAAGAATATCGAATGTTTTTAATATAAAACCAACAACAACAAGTACTGTAAATGTTACTTGTTGTGCACTTGTTGGCATAACAAGAGATATTGCATCTTGTCTCTATGTAATAAAATTAGAAGAATTAATTTCTTTTGTTTTTTATTTTAATTTTAACAAACAAATATTTTACTTTGAAAAAAATTAACCACCATAGTGAAACACCCGACATAATAATAAAAAATATTGTTCCAAGAATATTACATAAATAAAGTGAAAATTTACCAATTGTCTTTATAAATAAACAAATAAAAATTTTATTTTAAAAACAAAATTATTCACTTACTAGTAAATCAATAGTGATGTTTCCTGTTCGTGAATACCAACTTATCGTTCGAAAAAATCCAAGGATAATACCCAAAACAGCTAATACACCAAAAGCAATCCATATATCCAGAATATGTTTATTAAGATCCATTCGATACTGAGATTCGAATGTAACCTATTCATACATAAATATACTTATTGATCATGAATTAAGATATTTTATCTAATCTATTGAATTGTGCGCGCGCACATTCGTTCATCTGATTATAAAAGCATACGAAGAGCAAATAAGAAAAAAAAAGCGAAAACATACACAACACATAATTGATAATGAATGATTTAGTTATTACTAAATACATATATATATATATACTTCAACTAATGTAGAAATCCTTTATTTATTTATTTTCATTTTCTTACCTGAACAAGAATTCCTCTGCCTATATCATTTGAAGATAATTCATTGTATTCAACAATAATAACTGGTGGTTGAATATATGTTTCTCCACTTGTTAACGTAGTTAGAATTCTGATTGATTCAGCATAATGAATATTTCTTAATTCTAGAAGAAATTTTATTAATATCATCAATGACAATATTTTTTATATGTATACATACCATTATTGGTTGTCAAACCTGAAATACGATCAACTAGAAAAAAACGACGATGATAAATCCATGATGATTCATCAGCTAAACAGCGAAAACAAAAAATCATGTATCTTTATGAAATTATCTCGGATCAAAAATAAGAAATCCTTACCAAGTCGATTAGGAAAAGTACCAGTTAATAATTGATAATTTAGTACAACAACCGGACATGATATCATATAATCAGAACCATTTCGAGTGAATACAACATCTAAATTGATATTCATAAAAGTTTAGAAAACAGAAAAAAAAGTCATATAGAATAATTTACATGGATCAAAGAAAGCCGTTTCATATAATGTTGAATTCCATAATACATCAGCTCGAATAGTACACTAAGAAAAATAAAAAGGAAATTTTTTTATTACGATTATATTCAAAATATCAGTTTTAATGAATGTATTACTACTTAGTTATTATATACTATCGATTACAGCCACCCGAATCAGGAATTTTTAGATCCGGATCTGCTTGATCAAACTTTTTTCGATCAGAATTTTAACGAAATTTTTTAGCCTGACGAGGGAACTGATATTGTATTCATGAGTAGGTTCCGACGGTACTAATAGAAACCTGCAAGAGTCTATTCCTATGCACTGTTCTTCTCTAGCTATTATAATTTTACTAAACTTTTTTTTTTCTATCTCTGACAAGGTATTTATGAAAAAATCAAATTACGAAATTTCAACCTGAAATTCTGCCTATAGGTAGGTCTTGTAAATCTTAGACTACTCTAAAAATTTTAGCCTAAAGGAATGAGTTCTTCTTGAGATATTGAATATTCGAAAACAATCGTGACCGTGCAAAATATCAATTTGATTGACGAGTCACATTTCAGGACCTTCCCTCGTGAGTCTTCAAGTCGCTTTGCAAATATAAGATATTTTTTATTGGTTTTTTTTTGTATTCTGTTACTAACACATCTCTTATATATTTTTCAGACAAACTTGACGATGATCTTATAATAATCAAGTCATAATTAGCTATTACTTTTGGAATATGACCCATTGTGTAGATTCCGGGATCGACTCGACGGGTGTTACCATCAATAATCAATATTGATTTTTATTATCACGTATAAACTGAATTATTTTTTCGAAATTGATAAAACAAGAATAGGTTTTACTTATGAAATACAAAGTGTGACCATCATTTTGATATTTTATATCTATATTCTCAATAAAATATAATCGAAAAATAAAAAATTTTTTTCATATAATTCTAATACTGTTCAACCAAACAAAATTCTTAGAGGATAATTTAACGTACTGATTTTTTATATACTGTTCCAAATGTAAAAGCAGGTCGACCATCACTATAACCACCTCCACAGAATTGCATATGAGTATCAAAAGCATCAACAAGACCTAAAAATTGTCCAGTTACAGAGTATTTAGCTAGTTTAATTCTCATTAAATCATTTTGAGTAAATTTTGCTGGTATCCAACTGTATGTTGAAGCACTTATTTCATCATAATATGTCAATGGATAAGTAAGAAATGGTATAGATGTTCTAAATAAAACACAAATAAATCATGAAATATTTGTTTTTTTTTTATTTTTATTTTTACCGGTTAGTATCAGTTGTCCAAACTGTTGGTGTTGATTGTGGATTCCATATATAATTATCATAATAATCATATGCATAACCATCACTACCATAAAAAAATTGCATTGTAGCAATATTTGCTAAAATTTGACATGCTGTCGCATTCGATAAAAGAGTACGTGTAGATGATCGTGTATTAGCCGAATTTAAATTCATCTAGAAAATAACAAAAAAAAAAAAGAGTTTCATTTATAAAAGAAAATAGCTGAACTTACTCGACAAAGAAAAAACGATGCTCTCAAATGTTGTTGAAAAAATACTGATGTCGTAGGAGTCTAAATTTTCATAAGACATTTGTCTTTCAAATGATATTAAGAATAACATACGCTGAATCTATTTAGATAGAGAAAACCACCGATTGAAGTATCTTCAACATAAAGTAAACAGGTACCATCCTCAATAAGACAAAAAAAAAGAGAAATAATTTTTTTTTTGTTTTTAAATTAATATTAAGTAAAAATCTTACTAGAGTTTCACTAGCATTACAACATCTGATATTTCCCGTTGGTCTTTCACGTCGAGGAGTGACACTAGCACATGGAGTACATCTAATAAGGAGAAAAATTCAAAAAAATTAATATTTTTCAATAAGAATTATAATTAACCGTTGACCAGCTGGATCAGGCCATGTACCAGTTTGACATTGAACACAAGTTTCATTTCCAATTCTTGGCTGACTTGAAGAACTCGTGATTGATGTATATAGATTACCATCAAGGTTTGATTCCGCTAAAGTAATGAAATTTTTTTTTTTTCTTTTTATTAGATTTATATCCGATAGAAAATTTTTCATCTACTTTTAACACTTTCCGGCCATGTCAAACCGCACGAAATATTTGTAGTAACACACCCAAATCCATCACTTGATCGTATCTTAATTAGCAAAAAAATTCATTTATTTTAAAAACAAAAAATTCTATACACATACATAAGTTGAATTACATGGTAAACAAAGTAATGAACCACCACCTTGATTTACACCATAATAAAATGTCCTATCAATACAATCACATTGTGTTGGATCTAAATAAGAATGATAAATATAAATATGAAAAGAAATAAAATCATAAAAAAATTTGTAATTTTTCAAAAGTATAAATTGCTTCATATTCATAATTTTTTATTGACATACAAAAATATTTATATGTTAGTGTTTCATGTGCGTCTCTACTGAATCTTGAATTATTCGAAACATATCTCCAATACATTAGATCAAGCAAAAAATTTAATATTAAGTCTGAACTCAGTGTTGAATTTAAACTTTTTTTTTCTTTTTCGAAACTTTAAACCAACTGAAAAATTTTAGTAACAGTTTTTCGAGAAATAGGAATTTTGACAGCATATGTTTACTTTAAACATAGTTGATATGCTGATAGGTATGTTTAATACACTAACACAGTACCAGGTGAGGGTGAAGGTTGTCTGTAAAGTGAATAAATATCCTTCCAAAAGTTGCTGAAAATTAGTACGGCGAAATTTATGTTGTCCTAATTTTATGACAGAATGGAAGTTATTTACAATAAGTCATTCATCAGTCGATTATGTGTGAAAGAAATATTATCAATCATTGGTCACTAGTTAATGAAAGGCTATAATTCAATATTGACTTTTGATTTGAATGATTCGATCGATCCTAATTTGTATAGTATTTTATAATGAATACAAACAGTTCTACGAGCGAATGAAATTTTAATGATTCATTCAAATTATATTTAACAAAGCAAATTCGAGTTTATAAAACTTTTGAAACGCAATATCCAATCTACTAAAATTCTTCTCATATTATACTTCAATATCTATAGTGAACCTGTTTATCTACGAAACCAATTTCTATTCTTATGATAAAATATTCTGATTGATTCTAATCATCAAATTAATTATATTATTATCAATAAACATTTTAAAAATTTTATGTAAATATTAATTGATTGTTAATAACTTTATTACAAAAAAAAAAACAAAATTACCATTGGTCTTTTGTATCGCATTAAGTGGACAAGGTGAACATTGTAATAAAGCAGTATCATAATATTGATTGTTTGAACATGACGTAACATATGGAAAACTTATTTGATAAGCTGTATATAATGCCGTTTGAGCAAAAACAATTGATGATGGAATTAATAGAAGAAGGTGAAATAGAAATGATTTAAATAAAATCATCTTTTACTATCATGTGAATGAGCAAGAAAAAAAATTTGTCATCTATCAATCATAAGAAATAACTGATTTATAATTGTTGCTTAGGAATAACCTTTATTATCAGAACTAAAATACATTTTGATGTGAAGAATTGCTATTGAGGTTAAGAAAAGAAATTTGATTGGTTTATCATTTATTCCAATTATTGAAAAGCAAAAAGCTAAAATGTGCGTGTTTTTTGTGTGTATGGACTTCATCAGCAAAAAAAAAATAAATAAAAGAATTGATCCAAAGGTTATATCCATTTTAGATTAATGGAAGCCTTAATTCCTATTCTCAATAAACTTCAAGATGTATTCAATACAGTTGGTTCTGAAAGTATTCAATTACCACAAATAGTTGTTGTCGGCTCACAAGTTTGTTTTTTTAATTTCATAATAGAAAATTTATTATTATTATTATTATTGAAATCGATTATTTTAGAGTGCTGGTAAAAGTTCTGTATTAGAAAATCTTGTTGGACGAGATTTTCTTCCACGTGGTGCCGGTATTGTTACAAGACGTCCATTAACTCTTCAACTTGTTTATACACCACCAGAGGATAAAGTTGTACAATGTCAAAGTCTAGGAAGTAATTTATTGGTTTTTTTTTAATCAGATAATAAAATTTTATTAGTATTTTATTAGTGTCTGTACCGGATGAAAATGAATTTGCTATATTTACACATATTAAAAATAAAATTTATACAGATTTTAATGAAATTCGTCACGAAATTGAAGCAGAAACAGATCGACTTGGTGGAAAAAAAGTTGTTTTTTAATATATAAAATATCTTATTATATATGTAATCTTTTTTTTTTTTACGTAGAATATTTCTCATGAACCAATAACATTAAAAATTTATTCACCAAAAGTTGTTACACTTACATTAGTCGATTTACCTGGTTTAACAAAAGTAAAATTAAAATGATTTTATTTTTTTTATCAAAAAAAAACAAACAAACTTTAGGTACCTGTAGAAGATCAACCAGCAGATATTGAAACACAAGTACGAAATTTAATAATGCATTATATATCAAATCCAAATGCTATTATTCTTGCTATAACACCAGCAAATGTAGATTTTTCAACATCAGAAGCTGTTAAATTTGCTAAAGAAGTTGATCCTGAAGGTTTTATAAAAAATAAAATGTATATATATATATATATTTTTCTCTATTTGAATTTTTATTTTAATAATAGGAAGACGAACTTTAGCTGTTTTAACAAAACTTGATTTAATGGATCGTGGAACAGATGCATATGATGTACTTTGTGGAAGAATTATTCCTGTTAAATTAGGTATTATTGGTGTTGTTAATCGAAGTCAAGAAGATATTCATAAGAAAAAAGTTTGTTAAAAATTTATTAAATAATCTATTATTATTTATTTATTTTTTTAAAGCCAATTGAAGAAGCACTTCGTTATGAATCAGCTTTGCTTCAAAAGAATTATCCATCAATTGCTAGTCGAAATGGAACACCATTTCTTGCTAAAACATTAAATAGAGTATGTATGTTTTGAAACAAATCTATTAAATATAAATAACATACGATGAAAAAAATACTCTCGACAAAAAATGTCAAATTCTGTTAGATTGTATTGCCAATTTCTAAACTAATGAAAGCTGGATAGACTCAAATTCTAACGCAACACAAAAATGCAACGCAACAAAAATTCTAATGATATTCGCTGTAGTAGAATTTTCTAGATTCGTTCTTGACTCTTGAAATTAAAATATTTGAAGATTTAAATTTTTTTGTAAAATAGATTATTTTTTGCTTTCTTCAAAATTTATCATATCATAGAAACTTAGCAGAAAAATAATATTCGTTTATTGTTGCAAAACGGTCAGTTAATAAGAACGACCAAATTATACAGTTACTTACAGAAAAAACTATAGTATCGGACAAAAGTATAGCTATTCTAAACTAATGTCTGCCACTATATATTTTGGTATAAAAAATGTGAAGAGTAAATTTAATTTCCAATAAACTATTCGAAAGAGGATTCTTTATCCCACAGAAATCATTATTAACTGTGTTTTGTTCATTTCATTTCTTATATAAAAAATTTAATAGAAAATAGAAAACGATGTTGCACGATAGTGAAATTACAAGAACTTTTTAAAGAGGTGTTTAATTTTTGTTTTTTTTCTTCCTTCTTAGATTCGTTCTAAAAAACTATGTCTCTTACAAAATTTGTAGTTCACACATTCTCTCTAACAAAAAAAAAGGATTTTATTAGCTTAGAAATTGACAATATCGTCTAACAGTGTTTAACATTTTAGCTAAGACTTTTACATCATATGTTATATCATTTTTTTGCTTTGATAGTTATTAATGCATCATATTCGAGATTGTTTACCAGCATTAAAAACACGTATTAATCAAATGGTATCTCATTTTCAAACACTTGTTAATTCATTTGGTGAACCAATTGAAGATAAAGTTGTATATTATTATTATATATGATATAAACTATTTTATTTTGTTATATATAGGGTCGATTATTACTTCAAATAATAACAAAATTTGCATCAAGTTATTGTGCTACAATTGAAGGCACAGCAAAAAATATTGAAGTTTCAGAATTGTTCGTTTTAAAAATAAATCAAAAAATGATTAGACTTTTTTTTTTTACGAATGTTTATTTAGATGTGGTGGTGCACGAATTTGTTATATATTTCATGAAACATTTGCACGTGCTCTTGAATCAATTAATCCATTAGATACTTTAACAACATTTGATATACTTACAGCAATACGAAATGCAACTGTAATATTTATTTTTGCTTTTTTTTTTCGTTTTAAATTTCTAATAATAATTATTTTGGTTTTTTAGGGTCCAAGACCTGCTTTATTCGTACCTGAAGTTTCATTTGAACTGCTTGTTAAACGACAAATCAAACGGTTAGAAGATCCAGGTTTACGTTGTGTTGAACTCGTACATGAAGAATTACAACGAATTATACAACACTGTGGTGCTCAAGTAATTTCCTTTTTTGTTTTGTTTTGTGGAACTCATACATGTTTTCGAAGAAAATAACAAGATTAAGTTTTAAGTCGAAGATTTTTGGTTCTCTTCTCCATTATAGACCTTAGTTAATGAGGTTAAAGGCTATTGAAAACATTTCTATAGCAACCACAGGTATAAATCAATCATTTTAATATTGCCATCAATCGTAGTTATGGGGCAAAAAAGATAAGAGATTTGTATAGTGAATAACATTGATTGAAATTTTAAGATCAAAGAGAGAAGTAAACAAGGGAAAGAGTGTAGAATTAAGGTACTAATATATGCATTAGTAATTGTGAGAGAATGTTTTAGTGTACGGAAATAGATTTACCAATATATAGTATTAAGAATAATTATTTTGTTTGATTTTATACAAATTCATTCTCTTCAAAAGAGAGTTTAATAAGATTGTAAATTGCTTCTCTACTTGTTTAAATTAATAAAGATAGTCAGGTATATTTATGAACTAGTTTGATAAAGAACGCTGTGTTATAATTTATATAAGTGTTGTGTTGGAGTAATCAATTAGTACCTTTGGATATTAGAAAGAGAAATTTCGTTCCATTGTTGAATAATTTTGAAAAGTCCCAATGGTATTAACAACAGAGATATTTTACTATGTTTTAACAACTGTTAATTTTCCAAGAACAAAAATGCATGAAAAGATAATAAACAATGAGCAATATTTTACTTTTTTTATTTACTAATATCCTTTAGATACCTAAAAAAAACTGCTTTTAGAAAAGATCTAGCATTCTTATAGTAGAAACTTGAAAAGTCCGAATGATGTTCACTATAGAGAGATAATACTGTAATTCATAATGTTTCCTGTTAGCCATAGAATGATGTTTGCAGTGAGAATATTTGATTAGTTTTTAGGTTATTAAGAATTTATTTCAATAGGAGATATAGTATCGTACATATGTCGGTTATTAACTATTGATGTTGAATGCTTAATAAAAAAAAATTCATTATATTTTAAAAATAACTGTGTATCATTTTCTTGACAAATACCAGAATCGAATTACTCTGGTCAAAGAGTACAGTCTCCGTCTACGAAGAAATACGACATGTTGACAGGCTCGTATTTCTTCGTACATACAGAGTGAGTAATATGGTTGTATGCATAATAGCCAACGGCAACATTACGACATCTTTACGGTGAAAATACAGCATTCTATACCACCAGTAATACTGGGTGTATTATAACGACACAATACGGTATAGAAAGGGTTGTTTACGATGATTCGTACTGATTGATCTGGATAATATTTGACATTTGCTATTACTTATCCGATTAGTTATGATTAAAAAAACAAGTTGACTATTGAAGATATATTTGATAATAAAAATTAAAATATTTCTAAATTAATAAAATATGAAATAGAGTAGATAAATTTGTATCAAATTGGCATAAATTGTAGAAAGGTTTTTTTGATAAAATATTTGTTCACTTTTGACTCGGTAGAAAGTATCAAAAGTTATGAGTTAGGACCCAAATTTTTGTGTTATTTTCGAATATGGACTTAGAAATTTTGTCTGAGTTCTTGTTCAAGAGCAGTGAAATCATGATTGAATAGTCCAAAAAAATTAGTTTGGAAGAAAAATTTTTTGTATTTTCACTATTACAGTTCAAAACTAAAACTTGAGATCTTTATTTATATATTAGCTTATAGATCACAAGCTTTCATAAAAACTTCACATTGTTGTGATTGTACATTGTACTTAAATCCACTTGTATTTAGTATCGGTTCTGAGTAAGATTCATGTTTAGATTTGATTAATATTTTCGTTATCAATATCTATTTTTGTAGTTCAATGACATCTGTATATTGAAATTTCTTTTATTACTCGTCATACAATAGTGTATCAAAGAACTATCTTATAAAGAGATAAATAAAGATTAAGATCTGGTAACAACAAAATATCATGCCATTATAAAATAAAACGTGACACAAATATCTAATCTATAGAATTTTTATATATGTTGCTATCTTGAAAAAAAAGTTCTACTTTTTCCAGTTTTTTTTTGGTGACTTTAAGGCTATTTTTTGAATTCTTAAAACATGTCCAGTAGACTGAAGATATTTAAAACCATATATAGAGAAACAACCAAAAGTGAAAAAATCTTGAAGAGAGAATTCTCTTGAGTACATTTGTATTTAGTGTACTGGCACTAAGTATCTAATCACTGACAACAACTGAGACAAAATTTTCAAGTCCATATTCAAAAAGAGCAGAAACTCACAGTTTTTGACTCGTTAGGAATGCTTCTTAACGGGTTAAAGATGAACAAACATCTTATCTAAAAACTTTCCGATCACACGTTCGTGTTTCTGTTTGATGAAAAAGCAAATGAATTGTTTTTATTATAAACAAATCAATGTTTTGTCAGTAATATTGATTATAATTAATAAGTAAACAAAATTTTTCATTGTGTAAATCTTTGATTATTTTATTTTACTTGATTCAAAGTTTAAATTATGTTTCATTACATTAAAAAGCAAAATTTATATGAAATGTATGAGTTCCATATTTTAATCTCAAAGGAATTATGCTAACAAGCTTTTCTTTGCTTTTTCTTATTTTTTAATTATTTTAATTAAATTTTTTCAGCAAGAATTTATTCGATTTCCTCGTTTACATGAAAAAATTGTTGATGTTGTTACACATTTATTACGTCGTCGTTTACCAGAAACAAATCGAATGGTTGAAAATCTTGTCGGTATTGAATTAGCATATATTAATACAAAACATCCAGATTTTTATGAAGCTGGACTTATTCATAAAGCATTAACAGGTGGTGATTATATTACAACAACCACAACAAATCAAAATCAACCACAACATTCACATAATAAATCTCAACGTGATATATCTCGAGGAAAAGAAAATCGAGTTCGTTAGATAGATAGATTAATATATATAAAAACTTATTTTTTATACTTTTGATCTTTTTTTTTTTTATAGAGTAGTGAGGAATCAACATTGGGAAAAATAACTTCATATAGTAGAGCATTAGTTCAACAACATCTAACCGATGGTAATGATGATGAATCCATAGTTAATGGTGATCAACCATCACGATCTATGTCGAATACTACTAATAGTTCTCCAACAACAACAGCAATATCGATGGTACCTATTGGTGATGGAGTAAGTTTTATAGTAATTATCATTATAGGCAAATATTGTTTACTTTGTGTTAAATACTTCGAGATAAAATTTAAGATAGCAAAAAGGATCGATTGCCTCAATTTCAGCTCTCATATATGTCCTATATTAATATTGTTTTGTCATAGCTTGCGAAAGTCCACCCGTATTTTTTACCATCAAACAGGAAATTGATTCTTTTAAGTTTAAATCGATATATTTCTTTAGACAACAATCAATGCTCGACAACTTTCACCACGTGAACAACGTGATTGTGAAGTTATTGGTAAATAGTCAAAGATTTTTTTTTTAAATATCATATTTTATGTGTTGTATTTAATTTATAGAAAAATTAATTCGTTGTTATTTTTTAATTGTTCGTAAAAATATTCAAGATAGTGTACCTAAAGCTATCATGCATTTTCTTGTTAATTATGTAAAAGATCAATTACAAAGTGAACTTGTTGCATCACTTTATAAAACAGCAACACATGAACATGATGAATTACTTGATGAATCTGGTCAAATTGCTCAAAGACGTAAAGATGCACAAGAAATGCTTGAAGTATTATTATTTTGTTTTATTTTTTCATAATTGAATTTTTATTTTTATTTTTTCATTTTCTAGGCATTACATAAAGGAAATCAAATAATATCAGAAGTACGTGAAACACATCTCTGGTAAATATGAAAACAAATTTTTAATAATAAACATCAGTTTCCAAATTTCTGATAAAAAAAATTAGAAAAAAAAATCGATCTATTTTGTTTTTTTTTATTTCAAACAAATCCTTAGATTTCTATTGTATGTGAACGTGGTTAGTCAGTCTGTTTTCTTTTTTTTTGTATTTCCATAAATCCTGTATTTTCTTTTTTTTTTGTGTGTGTATTTGTGACAAGAACACCTTTTTTTTCTTCTTCTTTATTTCATTCTTTTTCTTTTTCTTTTTTTATTTAAAACAACATAATAAAGCAGCAACAAAAACGAATTTTTATGACCATGTTTCTCTTTGAAATTGTTGTGTACGTTCCATTTCTCGTAAATAAACATCAGCTTGTTCATTTGTCATATGTCCATATTTGATAAAAACATCTTTTAATGCATCTGATACTTGTTCAGGTACTTGTTTAGCATTTCCAGCAAGATAAATACGTGCTTGTTTATGTTTAATCCATTCCCATACTAAATGACCATATTCAATTATTTTATGTTGTACATAAATTTTTTCTTCTTGATCACGTGAATATGCTGGAATATAAATAAGATTAATTGTATCTTTTAAAAGATCATTTTCAATATATGCATCTTTTGTTCGATAACGACAACCAAAAAATAACATATTTAATAATTGATCATTTAAACTTCTTTCAAGTATCCAACCACGAAATGGTGCAACACCTGTACCAGGTCCAATCATAATTGCTGGTTGATTATCATTAATTAAATTAAATGATGATGATATACGCATTAAAATATGTTCATTAGGTTGTAAACGACATAAATAATTACTACATAAACCTTCACGATAAAGTGCAATAATTGTTTTATAACGAACAATAGCAACTAATAATTGTACTCGATTTTGATGAATTTTAGGACTTGATGCAATTGAAAATGAACGTGGACGTATAAGTGAAAAAAAATCAAATACATAATTAAATGGAATACATGATGCTGTATGAGGAAAATCTTGTAAAACTTCAACACTTGTACGTCGTGGTCGATGACAATATGTATAAAGATCATCAATATTTTCAGGTTGTAAAAATTCTACTAAACGTTCACGTTCTCTTTCATCATTAGAAAACCACATTAATTTTTCAAAAAATGATCGTGATGGTATACGTGTTATATGTAAATAATCACGAAATAATTCTAATACAGTCATTGATAAAGATGATATTTCATTTGAAGCAATAAAATTTTTATGAAGTTTATTTTCTATATTAAGAAGATTTGCAAGAAGATGAACAGATGTTAAAGAACATTGAGGAAGAATAACAGCAACATCTCCACATTTATACGGAAGATTTGTATCAAATTCAAGTAAACGTACATCTTGCCAATGATCTAATGATGTTACACGTGTATTAGAAATAAGAGGAACGGAAGTATAACCAGGTGGAATTTTAGAATTATTGATTGATATTTGTGAACTAATTTAAATTAAAAAATTTTATAGAGAATAAAATAACAGAAAAAAATACCTTGACGAATCCTTTTCATAATCATCAATCCATTGAATTTGATATTTACTTGGTAAACGTTGATCCATACGTGGTTGAAATTCTCTACCAATAAGATCACCAAATGTTTTCCAAAATATTTTTGTAAATGTTTGATCAATACAACCATCAATTCCTAAAATAATATTTTCAAAAACAAAACAAAAAAAAAACCCCCCGATAATCATAGAATGGATTACATCTATTCTACCTTGAAAAAAGCGTACCATGTGGATGTTGTTCATCAGCAAGAACTTTATCACATATAGCTTGTGCACCTAATTGTTCTAATCGTTTAGATAATTTTTTTGCAACAAAATTAAATTTTGGATATGTTGAATCACCTAAACCAATTAAACCATAATGTATATGTGATAAAATTGATGGTATTAATGATAAAGATTTTTTCATAATTATTCGCCAAAATTGACGCATATTTTCAGGTTCTTCACCATCACCAGTTGTTGATACAATAAAAAGAATATATGTTCCAAGATCTTCAATTGATCGAATAGAATCCAATGATCGAACACGACATTCAACATCTGTTGATCGAGCCATACATGAAAAACGTTCACTAACATCTTCAGCTGTACCTGTTTGACTGCCAAATAAAATTTCAAGCAACATCTGTCTGAAAAAAAAAACATAAACAGTACAAAGATACAAAAGACGTAATTCTTTCTTTCTCATTCTTCGTAACCCCATTTGCATCGACATGTGGAAAAACAGAAGAAAGAAAAGAAGAAAAAAAAAGAAGAAATAAGTGACGGGAGAATGACAAAAGCAAATTTCATTCTTCTTCTTTTCTACAAGTAACGATAGCACCGATAGAAAAGGTGAAGCAAATCTTTAACTGATGCCCGAACAGAGAATAAGAAAAAGAGCATAGTAAGTAGTAAGACATTATGAAACGTTATATTTACTGATTCATTTTCGAAAAGTCAAAAAAATTATTTATTTTTCTTATTGAATACAAAAATAAATAACAGGTAAATTATTTCTATACATATAAAATTTATTTCTTTTATTTTTCATAATCTATAATCTTTTAATTATCATAGAAGACATGAAGCTGTTTTTCTCTTCTTAGCAACGGGAACTATAAGTTCATATAAATAACGATAAAGAGAATAGCAACCACCAATCTGTTTTTTCTCTTCCTTTCTTGTTCAAATTTTTCATCTTATATATAGATGGCCAAGTGTTGAACATAGACAAACTAGATTTTTATACCGATCTTAAACATCACAGATAATTATCATCGTATATCCATGACTTTTGTCGTTATTATCCAAAAAAAAGAAAATTTCTAATCAAAAAATACAGATATATTTATATTTATTTTGTAACAAACCTTGACTTTTTACTATTCTTTTTATTGTTTTGTTTGTTTAAATCTCATTTAAAAAAAAAAATTCATTATTGTTTCGATTCCAGTCTGTTTTTTTTTCTTATACTATTATAGATGTCTTATTATTTATTGACAAATAAATTAAAATTTCTAAAAATACTATCATGACAAGTACACCAAGTAGTAATATGCTTTTATTACCACCATCAGCATTTCAATCGACATCATCATTGTATTTAAATAATGATAAAGAAAATCAAACAACGACAACACCAACACCAACAACAACAGTTCATGAACAACTTGAACAATTACAAGTTGAAATTGGTAGATTAAGAACAAATAATGAAGCTCTTAAAACATCAGGACGAGGTAAAAAAAAGAACAAGAAAAATTTTTTTATTATTTAAAAAAAATTTTTTAAGATTTACTTGAACGTGCACCACCATTGATAAATTTACCTCGTCGTTCAAATATTGTACAAGAAACTCTTGAAGATATAATTCAACAACAAGCAACTGAAATTGAACGTTTACGTAATGAACTTGAACGTGAAAAATCTCGTTGTTTAATTGCAATTAATGAACTTGAACAAACTTTACATACAAAAGAATTATCATGGAAAGTACAATTAAATGAATTTGAAATACGTTCAGCTGAATTACAAAAAGTTCGAAAAGAAAAACTTTATTATGAACAATTATTATCATCACAAAAATTATCAACATCAACAGATAATATTAATAATAAATTATCTCAACAACTTGAACAACGTGAAAAAGAAAATGCTGCATTAAATGAAGAAATGCGTTTATTAAATTTAAGGTATCAATAAAATCAATATTTATTAAAGAATATTATTATTTTATTTTTTTTTGTAGGTTAACATCAATGAATGATGTATTGACTTTACAAGAAGAAAAACTCGAACAACCAACATTAAATAATAATGAAAAACGACAATGTCTTCTTAATTGTTGGAGAACAAAAGTTTATGATTTACTTATGCAACTTAAATCAATGGAATTAATTCTTAAGAATAACAGTAATAAATTTTCTAATGGTAAGATTTATATTATATAAATAATAAATATTTTGTTAATATTCATTGAAAGAACAATATATCTTTTAAGTTTTATTTTTATATATGTATTTAAAGAAATTATTTACTATTCAATACACATTAAACGTTTTTCTTTTTATTCGAAATCCTTGAATACATGCTTGAAAAAATAAAAAGAAAATTAATCTTCTATTTATTCAGACAATAACATAAAAGGTGTTAGCGCACTTCCTATACGATTAAAATATGAAACAATTTATAGTTACTGTTGCTAATCACAAGAAGATTATTTTATTCTATCTATTTTAGACATATTTCTTAACTAGACATGCAATAAAGAAGTAGTTCATATATTATAACGAAACATTATTTATATACAGTCTTTGATCGTATATCAGTAATGTCTATTTCAATCTATGATGTAGGAGAGCGGAGTTTTGCTAAGGTGTGTATCATGGTCTGAGAAAATACGAGTTTTCTTGTCTAGAAAATACACATTAAAAATCCGATAGCTAACAATGGATAAAGCTCTCACTATCAAACTAATAAATTTCAAATATGAGCTGCCCATGGTGTGCATCGAGCAAGATAACTGATTTTTTATGTATTTACAGTATATAGAACATACCCACAAGTGAAAATTTTAACATTATTTATTTTTCGTTTTTTGTGATGGTTGAATAGAGACTGTCGAATTGTATAAGAAAAAAGTGTTTTAAACTTAAAAAAAGAACTCAAAAAAAAAATTAATGACAAAAGTTCAAGATACCATTATCTTCAAATAAAAGGAATGTAGACTAAACATTTCTGACTTCTATAAAATCTTTTAAAATTTGCTTTTATATGTGAAGCACACTTTTTCTAATGCAACTCGTCGATCTCTATCCAATCATTACGAAAAAAGAAAAATAAAAGATTTGTAGTTATAGTATCATGTACGATGTGTCTGTGTTCTCAAAAACTAGGTGCTTACAATTTCAAAGTTTTACATCACCCTTTCGAAAGAGAAAATCTAGATAAAACACTGCGATTTATAGTAAGAGAAATAATAGAAATTGTATCAAATACGTTATAAATTGTTTTTATTTTTAAATTGAATTTAGTAGTAATGAAACAAAACTTTATGATTATCAGATGATAGAAATGAAACTAGTTTTTTGTATATGTTCAATTAACGCAACATTGTCTTTATTTTGAGACTTAATTAAATCGTATCTGTATTGAATGTGTAACAGCTCTGTGTCAACTAACTCTAATGGTTTTAGTCGTCCAGCTTCTTTCATACATATGAGAGCTAGAATTACTGAAAGCTTTTTTTATCCTATTATGAAAAGACCTGTCATAACTTTATTTCAACTAAAGTAAGTTGAATTACACAGAGTATTTGACTGAGCAAAAGTGTTTCTCCTTCTCGTATCTCGGTTACCATATACGTTGAAGATCTAAAAATTTGTGCATGTATACTTTACTAAGAGTGTAGATGAGGAGCACAAGCTTGCTCTGATTGTTTAAACACATTTTCTTTACTTCAAGCTATCAAACCTGAAAAAAAAATTAACCACTTAATTTTGTGTAACTGGTAATCAACTACATGATTTATTGTTGATATTTTAACATACAGTCGAAGCTTACTCCAAAGTCGTTCTTTAGTTAAAATATTAGATAATCTAGTAGAGAATTGCTGTGTCTACACATCTCTAAGTCTTCGGTGCCAATAAGATGATTATTTGGATGTCATTTCCATTTATTAGAACTTTCTATTATGAAATTTGCTGGTAATGATGCTCAACTAAAGACAAATTGTCTATACAAGTTTCAGCTTGATTCAATAAACTATTGCCGAGTTACAGTCTTCAAATGCAAGTAGATAGTTCAATTATAGAAAGGAGTGATGAATTTCGATGACATTATTACAATAGACAGTTGAAACAAACTATTAGATAATGAAGAATCGAGCGACCCACAAAGTTATGAAGTTCAAAGGATGAATAAGTGTTATCCATGATAGTTTTCGTTTTATTTAAGCAATCAGAACAAGCTTATACTTCTAATGTACATTCTTGATAATGTATGTCCACACAAATTTTATATCAAAAGAAAAAACAAATATTTCTCTACAAAATTATATTCTGACTATTAGATCTCTATAAGGCATCTATCGAGAATAAGAGTTTCGACAAAAGATTAAACGAAAAAAAAAACAAATAACGAATGTTTAGAATTTTCTTTTGAAATCAAATCTATTAGATTTTCAAGTTTATATTTTCATACTTGATTAACGTTGGTTTTGTTTTTTTTGAAATTATTGTCTAAATAATATTAAAAAATTCTTTTTTTAAGATATTGAACAATTACAAGGCAAAGTCAATGAACTTTTACATGAAAATAAACTTGTACAAACTCAATATGATGAACGTAAAATTCATATACAGTATGTTATTTCTTTTTCTCATTTCTTATTAAAATATTAATTATTCAGATATCTTGAATCAAAATTACATCAATCAGATTCAAATTTAACTTTAATTCTTGATGAAAATACATCTCTTAAACAACGTCTTCAATCTTATGAACATACAGAACGAACAATTCATGATATGATTATTAAACATACAACAAATCCTCAATATGATGATTTATTTAAAACAATAAATAAAACTCTTGCTATATATGAACAACGTCTTGGTTATATAAATAAACGTTTTCTTGTTCTTCAAACATTATTTAATCGTCAATTATTATCTTTATCATCAAAACATCATGTTACAATTGGTATACAAACAGAAGATGAACAATATATTGATTTAACATTACTTGAACGTGAATTAAAAACTGTTTCAAATGAACGTGATTTACTTGCATATAAACTTGATCAAGAATATGAACAATCAAAACCACGTCTTGAACAAATTGAACAAAAATATAAACAAGAATTTGTAATTAGTAATGAAAAATTAGTAATGATGCAATTAATTTTAGAAGAAAATACAAATAAAATTCAATTATATGAAATAACTTTAATTGAAAAAGATAAACAATTAAAAGAATTAACAGAAAAATGGACATATGAACAACAAAAACAAATAGAAAATATTGATTTATTAAAACGAGAATTTCAAGTATGAAATTAAAATATTTATTTTAAAAGAAAAATATTTATTTTAGGAACGAGAAGAAACATTATTAAATGACAAAGATAATTTAGAAAAACAATTAAACGAAGCAAAACGTGAACAAGCGAAATTAGCAGCTAATTGCAGGTCAGTTTTATGAAACACGATCTAAAAGGAAATATTGAAGTACATTGAGTAGAAGTTCGAATCCACGCCTAGAACCCGTCGGGTTGATTTCAGGTCCGAAAATTTTGGATTCCCTGGGTTCTAGTCATCTGAAAAATGCCTAAGATACGCTAGCTGTCGAATACCAAAAAGCCGGAAAAAAAACCTCGTATTTTCGCAGCGACTAGCCATTTCATTTAGAAAATTTCATTGAGACTACCAATGTACAGTTCAACTATGTCTGAAATATTCGAACCCGACAGGCTTTATCCATATTCTCCCCTCCTCCACAGACGCTAGCCAAAGACCATTATAGACCGTCTATCAATAACGGCTCATAACTACTTCCCTATTGCATTTTTTTGAAGAATTAAGTAAAAGAAAAGTGAAAAAATATGGTTCAAGGTGTATAGAATAAAACAATTTCTCTCTGATTAGTAACATCAATTACATCGAGTTTCATATTTTATTCTCCAAGGAATTGTGCAAACAGCTTTTTTTCTCGAAAACTAAGAATAAAAAAAAAACAATATCGTTGTTATTTTTTCTTTTATACATTTCTAGACAAATTGAACGAACAACAACTCGTGAAAAAGAACGTTGGCAACGTCAAATAGCCGATTCACAATTACGATCAGATGCTGAATTAGATAAACTTACAAAACGTATAATGACACTTGAACGTGAACGTAATTTACTTATGAAAACAATTCATCAAGAAAAATCTTATTCACCACAAATATTACAATCGGATGACAATGATCTTCAATATCTTGTGTCGGAAATTCGTCAATTAGCAAGTCGAGCTTTAGATGAATCAAGTGATGAAGAAGATATAAATAAAATCTCATAAAAAAAAAAAAACATAAAAATAAATTTCATTCTTTTTATTGTACAAATTTTGACAAGAAAATTTTTGATGATTTAAAAGTTTTATTAAAAATAATAATAATAATAAAATCTATCTCATATAATGATAGATATCTAGATAAATTTTAGTTTCTTATTGATTTATTTTTATTTCAAAAAACAAACTTGAGTATATCTCTCAACAAAGATTAATAACTCACATGTATCATATGTTTGTCGATATGGAACGAAGAAAAAACAAAAACAACTGATTCATCGAAAACATGATACGATATTTTATTACACAAATATCAGTTTGTTTTTCATATATACGTTATGAATAAATATAAATAAAAGAACATGAAGAAATTTTTTACTATGAAAATTATAATGTCACTGACAGTTATTTGAAATCATAATTCAATTAACTAATAACCTTTATTCGAAAGTTAAATCTATTCAAAAATGAAATATAATAAAATATTACTTTCTTTTGTTTTATAATTAATATAATACATTATGACCGTTGTTACCAATCAGTAGAATTTCAGACACGTGTATTTTAAATATGACTCTATAATTATGAGTATTTATACAAGGACAAACAAAATTTCGTTACCATCTGTTTTACTTTTGTCTGATTCGTAGGTAAAAACAGAAAAAAGTCTTACACAACTTCTTTTCGTTTCAATTTATAGTAAGAATTTTGTTGAAATGAATAATGGCGGTCCGAAGGTAAGGTTTGTACGTATTCACTGGTTTGACTTTGAGAGTTGTTTTGCTGAAACGCCATATCGTACATCCGCCTTTTATAGCTACTGCATACGAATCAGTACACCTTACCCACATATGACCGCCACCAATAATTTTTCCTTACTAATTTTAAAACATTAAACTAAAGAAACGTTGTATTTCATCTAATAACATAAAAATTAATCATTTTTTCATAATTATAATCTTTTCATCAATGGAAGATACTCATTAAAAAAAAAGAGGGAATAAAAGCTTCATATACAATTGATATTAATTTAATATCAAAAAAGAAAAAGCCACTTTATTTATGTGGTGTAAAGTATTATTACATTTCCTATTTAATATGCAAAATTATCTCATAAAAAGATTCTCTAAAGATCAATAATTCTATATTTGTTAATAATAAATTATAGAATTCTAAATTAATTTCTTCCTTATTAAAAAAAAATTATTTATTTTAAAGTTATTTTATTTTTTTGTCAATAAAGAGAAAAAAGAACACATTCTTCTCGGTTCTGTTTGCACATCCATCGTGTCACAACGAGATGTTGCACAATCTCAATTTATTTCAAAATATAATGGTCATGAAATATTAAGCCAGATGCGGTCCGACTTGAGATGGTACTTCAGAATTGAAAATATCACTTCCAGTATGCTGAAGGGCCATATCATCCGCTATTTAATAAAATCATTCGAAAAAATTAGATAACAATCTATTCAATACCTGAAGTACAATCCCATGTGACACGACCGCACTTTTTCTGTATGAAATAATTTTTCTCAATAATAAAAAATAACTAATCAAAACATATATTACTTTATTTTGAAATCTTTATTCTTAAAAATACAAAAATTGGTATATTTGCATTTATGCCTTGATCTTTGACATGTTTCTCACACTTTGATATATTTATCTTTTCACTCGCATCAATGACAATTATAGACGTAAGTGAGCTGAATAATCATGATCAGTGAAGTGCATCCAACTAGTCAAACATCCACATGACGTTTTTATCGTATTTTGTCATTTTATACAAAAAAAAAATATTTTTAGTATTTCGCCGTGTATTTCAAAACAAGGACGATAATATTTTGTTGGAAAAATTCGTAATTATAATCGATATTAAATCTTAAAATTAATTATAATGAGTTGTAAAAAGTCTGGTACAACTGCATCATCAGGAAATGGAAAATCTGGTGAACAGAAAGATGATAATTTTTTGGCAAAAACTGCTCGTTCGATTCGAGATAAAGTACAAGGATTAACGGGTGACGTAAAAGAAAAAACACAAAATTTAACACGTAATAGTGAATCAAAAAACAAAAGAAAAAGACTAAGAAATAGAAAGACAAAAGATACTGAAACGAATTCATCATCAAAATCTGCTACATCTAATACAAAAGATTCAGATTCAGATTCGAATGATGAAAATGGTTCAATAAAACCACGATCTCCACGTTCGATTCCTCCCGGTATGTATATATGTAGGAAACCAAAAAAAAACAAAAGAAATTTCATTAATTAAAATAATCATTTTATTCTAAGGAACTGGTGACAAATCAGATATTTCACGATCAAAACCATCATCATCATCATCCGAAATAGAAAAGACTAATCCTGAACGTTCTGCTCGCTTAAGTAGAAAATTTCTACAAAAGTTGATTGTATTTTGCTATAAAATATTTCTTCTTCTTTCACTTAGAAATTCCATCCAATCAATCACCTTCAAATAATTCAGCCAGTAAACCATCTGATGATGATTCAGTAAGGAAACCTTCACATTCATCATCAAATAAGGAATCAAATGGTGATACAGATGGTGATGAGGTAACAAATAAACGATCTTCTACGAAGAAAAATACAGATAAAGTTCATTTATCATTTGATGGTTTGAAAATTAATAACTTGTTAAAAATTTCGTTTTTCCTTTCTTTTTTTCTTTTTATTCTATTATAGGTGTATCAACTGTCGATGACTTGCTTAATCGAATAGATGAAACGGTTGAACAAGCTAAACTTGTTATAGAAGGTGGTTCAGGAAAAATTGGTCTTAATATTGATAGAGTTCCGTCTGCAGCTAAGCTTCCTCCATCTGATCTTGAAAAAAGACCTAAAGAAGAAGTTAAAGATAAAAATATCAAAGTTGACAAACAGGAAGAAACACCGAAAAACAAAGAAGAACAAGTGGAAGACAAAGAAGAACCAATACATATTGACTATAATGAAATACACACAATTGGAGATCTTCTCGGTAAAGTTAGTCATGAACAAGGAAATCGAAAAGTTATACTCGAAAATGAACCTGGTAATTTTAATTCAATTACTGTAGAAAAACCAACTAATTCATCTTCTACTACTTTGCCAACATCAAAAAATCCTAATAATGATGATGATGGTGATGATGATGATGATACATCAACAGCAACAAAAAGTATTTTAAAAAAAAGTCAAGATCCATCATCATTAGACACAACGACTAAAACATTATCATTTCAAGATGATCAAATTCATGTCAATTTAGAAAATGTTCAAAATCTTGGTGATCTTTTAGATTGTGTTGACGATGCTGTTCAACAAGTTCCAGTTGTTATTGATACAAAATCTCAAGAAAAAAAACGACAAGGTTCGTTCGTTTTTTTAAATTATTATTTATCGTTAAGATATTTTTTTTTTTGTATATGTGTATAGCTCCATTACCACCAAATCAAAATAATAATAATAATGAACTAAAACCAAAAACTTCTGTATCTACTAAAGAACAAGAAGGTAAGTTGAATTTTTTTTGTTTTTTTTATTAATAATTAATTTGATTATCTGAATATGATTATTTTTCTATTTTTTTGTTATTCCAGGTACTTCTATGACAGCTAATGATGCAAATACCAAAGATGAATCATTACAGGTAACAAGCACAGAAGAAACAGGTAATAGAGAAAAAGAAAACAGTTCTTTTATAGTTTTATTCAATTTTCTAATTTCAGCTTTAGAACTGGATAATAAACAAACAAAAGATGTCGAAACTTTAACTTTGAAAATATCTAGATTTGATGATAATGAACCAAGATTATCTTCGTCAACGAGTAACAACAAGAAAGAGGAAGATGAAGAAGTTGACCGGTTATAATTATACGAAGAAAGAGAAAACTTTTTCTTCAATTTCTTTTAATTGAACAAGAATATAATTGAATATCAATTCCCTTGGGTCCTTTTTTTTTTTGGTTTTTTAATAGAAATAAAATAAGTTGAAAAAACACAAAAAAAAACCAAAACCGAATAAACCAAATTTATAAATAACAAATATCACATTACAAAAAAAAATGAATAAGAGCTATGTTTATATATAAGATGATGAAAAAAATGTTTAACGACAGCTTATTTTTGAGGTTTTTTTCTTTAATATTAAGCACCTAGCTCGAATTCAAATTGTGATTTTAATAACTCATTGAGGCTTCTTTTTTACCAAGATTTCTAAAAATCCGAACACGGTAGTTTTCAAAACCCAGAAGACTATTTTTTAACAACGTCATTTTAAAGAGCACAAAATTCTGAACAAAACAATGGGTAGTCGCATTTTCTACAACCTCCCTTTAAAACGTTAAAAGTATCACAAAAAACGAAATTTATCACAAAGCTTATTAGTGCAGCCCCACTGAGGCTAAAATGTAGAACTCAGAAATTTTTTCAATTTTTTGTTTGTCTTATTGCTATTCGCTCGTTATTTTTCTGTTTTGTATTCCTTTTCTAACCATTGATTTAACTGAAAAATAAGCCTATTGTACAATATATCTACAGTAGGTCTCAATTCACTATCTTAATAAGTTCACAAATACTGATATTGATTTTTTTCTAGAGTTATAATTTGATCACTTCGCACTTTTTATGTTAATCATATGACAATTGTGACAAATCAATACATTGCTACCCATCATCCTTGACATCTTAAATATAAATTTTTATTTGCGAAAAAAAATTCTTTCGAGGAAGATTTCTAGAACAGGGTAAGTTTTGTCGTTAATGTCGTTTCTCTTCGCTAAGGAACTCTGTATAAATAGTCTGACGCCTGTTATACTCGTTGGCTAAGATCTGTAACTGAGAGGGAAAGTCGAAAAACTACGACTTCTTACTATTTTCTTCGAACATATATGTAAATTCCATGAAATCGACTAAAAAACAGCTTTTTTTTCGGTTTTTGTGATGCTTTTAACTTTTTCAAGGAAAGCTGTAGAAAATGCGACGATTTCTCATTTTATTTAGAATTTTGTGCTCTTTAGAATGCCATTGTTAAAAAATAATCTTCAGGGATCTGAAAACTACAGTGTCTGATTTTTTCAAAAAGCCTTGTCATGTTATTTTATCTATGAAATCTTAGTAAAAGAAAACTCCATTGGCTATTAAAATCATTAACTGAATTAAAGTTAGTGCTAAAACATAGAAAAAAAAAAAAAAAAGGTATGTTGTTGTTAAAATTGTTTTATTTTTTGGCAATATCTTATGTATATATTTATTATTTGACCATATTTTGGAACCATTTTGAATAATAAGTTGCAACTTCAGCAACATTTGTTGTTAATGGACGAAATGATGCTAAACTAGAATCATTTTCTATATTATTATTATGTTCTTGTTCATGAATTATATTTGATTTAAGAATATTTCCTTTTGATGGTTTTATTTGACCAGATGATGTTGAAGAAAGATTAGTTGCTATTGGAAGTAATGAAAAACGTTGTGTACATGAAGAAAGTGAAAGAATATTATTTGCATCTTGACTATTCATTGTAAGTGGTTTTGATGGTATAAGACGATCATTTGTTATTAAATGTCCAAATAAAAGCTAAAAAGAAAAATATTATTGAAAGAATTCGAAATCATTTTTATTGATATTTTTTCTTACTGAAGAACGAGGAACTATTTTTTGTAGATGACTTTGCATATATGGTGAAAGAACATTTAAATCAAATGGATCAATATCATTTTCAATATTTTCAATTAATTTAAAAAAACGTTCATTTAAATCTTTTGTATTCTATACAAAACAAAACAAAAAAAGGAACGATCAATTTTTATAGAAAATTTTAATTCTTTTTCTTTTTTAAGATTAACATACTGTACTATTATCTTTACGTTCAAGTAACATATGAACAAATCGAAGATCATATACTATTTGAATAAGTCGTGTTTGTATACGTTTTTTATTTATACATTTTTGTCCTTCAGTTAACCACCATGATTCATAAACATTTAAAAATGTTTGTAATATACGATAAGCCATTTCACTTGATAATTCTCTTTAAATAAAATAAAAAATTTTTAAAAAATAAATAAATAAATAAAAATTTGATATTACTTATCAAGGCCATGTGCTAATGCTTGATTAATTTCTTGACAAGAATAAAATAAAAGTTCTTCAATAAATGGTGTACAATACATAGGAACACGTATAACACTTTTATATGTTTTATCAATATCAAGACTTTCTTCAATTTCAATTTCATCCCAAATCTAAAGAATAAAAAGAAAACAAAAGAATCGAAAACAAAATAAATTAAAAAAATTACAAGTGTAGGTATATCATCAAGAAATGTTAATAATTTATTTCGTAGAAGCATATCAATATTAGCACATATATGTATAATCCATTGTCTAAGAAAATATAGAATAATATTAGAATGTATAAATAAATATTTCTTACTTAAATAAATCAATATGTGTTGTCATAAACATATCACGAGTTTTTAACCATGAAGTTTTTTCTGTCTAAAATTAAACATAGAGTTTATTCTTATAAAATATAAATCAGAACTCCGTGTAGAATAACACAGTTTAATTCCATGGGATACAAATATTTTGAAAAATAACTTTTGTCGAACTCATGAATGTATCAATAAATTTTACTTATTTAAAATGTATTTGATAAAAGTTAAATTTTATGGGATGAGATGCAAAATTTTTCAAAAATTATCTCATTTCATGCGAAATAGAGATTTTTTGAGATTTATCTCATCCCGTAGAACGATTTTTTTTTTCGTTCTATCTCATTCCATACGAAGTTCTAGTACAAACTATTTTTCATAATATATTTTATTTCAATATTTTATTATCTGAGAATATTCAAAAGATAATCAAATGAAAATTATATATGACTAACTTTGTCCAATGTTCGTTTTGATTGAGAAGTTCCTCGAACTTTTCTAAAATGAAATTTATTATAAATACAAAAAAAAATATGAATATATATTCTATCATTACCGATCATGTACAGGACTAGTACCAGTATCCGTAACATTTGTAACAAGTTCAAGTGAATTTTTAAGATTCTTACAAACAATTGGTATTGCTCGTACACATGAACCAAGCCAGACCAAACTAAAATCCCCCCCCCCCGAAAAAAAAAATATTTCTTTCTTTTCTCAATAAAATAAAATTCAAACCTAGCTAAAGTTTGTTCTTCGTTGCCAATTTTTTCATTATCATTTGCTATTTGTCGTAGATGTGCAAGTAATCTAAATAGGTTATCAATTTCAAAATATCTTTTCGAAAAAAATGTATATTTTACGTTGTACAAAATTGTATAACACATTCTTCAAGATGTTCTTCAACAAAACCACTATCAGAATAAATCAAAGAATTTGTATTATTAGTATTTGTTATTGATACAATTGTATCAGATAAAGATGATATTGAAGTAACATCAGCTATAGAAAATTCATTAACATCATCAAGAATTTGTCGTAATTCATCATCTAATTCTCGACATAAACTAAATAATTAAAATTATTATGATCAGTATATAAAAAAAATAAATAAACAAAAATAATATTACTTTTGAACATCCATTGAAATTGCAACAGTTTTTAATGAAAATTTTGCATCACCAACAGGTATTCGATGATTTGATGGTGTCCAAACATAATCACTTGGAATATTATTATCTATATCACTCCATATATAATTTAGTACATTAAATTCCAATGATGATCTAGATAAAATTAATTTAATACAAATTTAACAAAAACTAATTTACTTATGTCATTAGATTTAGTATTTTGATAAAGAAAAAGCTTATCAGAGAAACTTACATGTATTCTTTAGCCTCATTATATGAATACAAACGATGTACAATATAAAGTTTCTAACACACTATAAATGTAGTTCAAAGCAAGGTGTTGGAATTTTCTAGAATAGTGTAAGTCGTGTTTTTATTGCTCTTCAACATCTTTTTGGATTGCTAAGGAACTATAGGGAAGAAGTCTTAACACAGCTCTCCTTTTTCTAAGGCTTAAAATAGAGAAGACGATAGCCGGAAAACTTTGACTTAAAGCTTACACTGATTATTTTTCTTCGAAAAAAAAAATATATATATGAGTTTCACAATAAATGAATATTTACTTGTCATTCTTGTTTGTCGAATTTTGAAATGCTTTAAGACATTGTTCAATTTTTTGTATTACTGTTTGATTAAATTGATTAAAACGAACATGAAGTACTTGCTAGAAAAAAAAAATTATTATTATTATTTTAATAATCATATAAAAAATTTATTATTATTATTATTATTATCATTTCTTCTTACTTTAGCACGTGTACGTAATTCAATTTTAATTAAATCATCCCATAATCGAATATCTTTATTATTTCCATTTAATAGACGATTACAAACAGTTGACCATTGTTCCATACGTTCCTAAAGAAAAAAGGATAAGTTTTGCTAATAGGAAATTAGGTCGATTTCTTGAAAAGTCAGAATTTTGGCCGGATCCAAAATTCCTCTCATAAAAAGCCTTATTGCTATGAATACTTGGCACATTCCATAATGCTTATCGTTATGGATTTTCATTAAAACATAGTACCCAGCAGGATAACATTGTGCTTAGAATTCGCATGTAACAAAAAGATCAAAAAATTAGCAACATTTACGAAGAAATATTAATTAGCTAAAATTGAATCAAAGAAGTAGCATTTGGTAGTCCTTTTGAGCATTCCACCACTTTTTTAAGTTGACAGAAGTAATAATTATTTCAAAAGACTATACTATTTCTAATAGGATTAAAGTTTCATGTAAATCGATATCCGTTTGCAATGAAAGATTATACCTCAGTCATTAATGATACAAGACTTGATTTAAGATGAAGTAATGGTTTGAGTGATGTGATATGATTTAGTAATTCACTCAAACCAGATTTAACAACTTGTAATGCTCTAGAAAAAATAACAGTAAATTTGAAAATATTCAATTCAATTCTTTTGTTTTTATTTGTTTCGTACGTTTGTAACCATTTTTCGACAGCGTTTTGAACAAGTTGTTGTTGTCGAGATTCATATTCAATAAGATCTATAGGTTCACAATCTAAAAATAATTTTTAAATACAATAGAAAAATATGAAAAGAAAAAAGAAATTACTTTTAAAAAATGTTTCTCGAATATTTAATAAATGTTGTTGTCCATATGATAATATATTATTAATCTTTGAATTATTATTATCATCATTTGATGTATTATAAAATGTTGAAATAAATTTTTTTAATTGATCATATTTATCTAGAAGAAAAAATGAAATATATATTTTTTTCTTCGAAGAAATTCTTTCATACCAATATTTTTATCATTTTTACTGAAGAGCATATCCAATTCAAAAATTGTATTGATGAAGAGAACAAGTAATTGTCGAACTGTATTTTTCGAACTTTGTTCTAAAAATAAAAATGAGGAAAAAAAGTCGATACTATTTTCAAGACATATGGATGTTACGCAAAATTAAAACACGTATATTTCGAGATAGACAACTTTTACAGAGCTAACTTTTATATATTACATGTATGTTAAGTTACTCTAGATAGCCTGAAAAAATCAACGCTAGAAACCTTCGTTTAGAAGAATTATCATTAAAAAAACTAACATTAAATAGGACATCGACTTTCACTTAATACATTTTAGTTTTAAAACTCTGAATTTGAACAGCATTTTTCAAAACGAAATAAGACAACTCCTACGGTTGCAACATTTTTTCAAAAAAAGAATTGATTTATTTTTCGTTAGCAACATGACGGAATACGAAAAAAAATACTCTAATAATCGAATGAGACGTTCAAAACTAATTCTAAACAGTACAACAAATCATTGTTTAGAATCTCGAGATGATGATAAAAAACCAAAATTAAGTATATCCTGTTTCTCGTGAAATAGCTCATATCTGACAATTAAAAACTTACTAAGATCAGCATTTTGATATGATTCTTTAATAATATCCTAAAAAAGTCAAATAGAGAAACTCAAGATATATTTATATTAATACGATGTAAATAAACAAACCAATTTCGCAGTTAGAAATTCATTTAATACTTGTTCAACTGATTTATTACCAAATGTAATAAGAGTCGATAGTGCATTGGCAAGAATCTAAATGATTTATAAAGAGAAAATTATATATACAAAAATTCTAAATCAAAATAGATAATAAAAAGAAATTTCAAAATTCATTGTTTTGTAGATTATTAGATAATATATTATAATAAAACTATTTACTTGAACATTCGTATCAATACTCTTTAAATATAACCGACATTTATCTAAAATTGTTGCTTTCATATGTCGAGTTTGATGCCATAATCTAGTAGCAGCTACAATAGCTTTTTGTGAATCATTATCAAATTGTTCATCAGTTGTACTCGATGATAAACTACTAGCCATATGTTGAGCTAATAGATATTGTCTAAAATTTAATTAATTAATTAATTATTTATTTATTTTTGAAATGATAAAAAAAAGAAAATTACCGAGCTGCTGCTGCAAAATTATTTTCTTCTAAAAACATCCAACAACGTCGACGTGTTTCTGTTAAAATTCTTATTGAAATTACAAGTGTTAATTTCGATAACTGTTTATCTGATATTGTATTTGATGATATTGATTGTGTTAATAATGTATGATCAATTTTACTACATTTATCATTGAGTAAATGTACAAATTGTTCGACCTTGAAATATTTATCAATCGAATAATTAATGAATTCAAATTATTAAAATTAACATACGCCTTTAGCACATGTTTTCATTTCAAAAATTGCATCAGCTGCTTCAATTAAGTCACGATATCGTTCTCTAATTTAAATAAAATTTTAAAAATAAATAAATATATACATTCAATAACATCGTACCCAACCATTGATCGTAATTCTTCTTTTTTTCTTTCCATATCTACTTTAATTTTTTCTTCAATATCACGTATTTCATTTATGGTATATTTTATAAATATTGAATCAATATCGAGCTTTTCAATTTCCATATTCATTTTCTTAATTTAATAGATTAACCACAAAATCAATGATGAAAAAAAAAATTGAATATGTAGCTCGACTCAGAGACGACGACGACGACGACGACAAACTCAGCAAAATGTAATTATTGATAAATGAAATATCCAATAGAAAGCTATTCGAGAGACGTCACTAGAGATTGAGGTGAACAGTATTTTTTTTGGTTACACTCACAATTCACATGATCATAATTGGTATTGTCAATCATGAAGATTCTATTGTTTATATTCGTATGATCTGTTACCTAGCGATTTGTGTTCTCTACTTGACGAACAGATTGAAGATAAAATTGCGAAATGTTTCATTCGATGAAGAACAAATTGAACCATGTTTCTCGATAACTTATAGACAAAATCAAAAATCCATAACCTGAATTTGTTATTCCCTCGACTGAAGGGAGGGTGATACGGAAAAAACCTAAAAGCGTTTGTGGCGGACTTTGTGCCAGGTCAAAAAAACATCAGAAATGAAGTTTATTTAGGTGTATTTTCTAAAGTTTCACCAAAGATTTTTGAGCTGGGGAAATCCGAATTTCAGGTCAGATTTTCTATCCGACCTTCCCGTTGGCTGGGAAGCCGACCAATCAGAAATCAGCTTTTATATTTTAACCCTTTAGGGACGGTTGGCCCCCTAAGGGGCCATGGTAATTCTCTAGCATTTCAAAACACACAGATTCCTATATGAGATTAGTTTTCGTGAAAGCATTTATCAGAGAGTTTTTTGGTATAATTTGGATTGTAATTTGGTTATTTTATTCAGATATCCAGTAATGGATAATAAGTTCTTTTAGAATATAGAAGTGTTGATTGATTTATGATGAAATATACAGAAAAAAAAACCCGTCCCCAAAGGGTTAAGTCTTTTGTACCTTTTGATGAAACTTTACTATAGGTTATCGAGGGCCAGAAATTCGAGTGTGAAGTCAGATTTTATACCAGGCCTTCCCATTGGTCTGGAAACCGACAAATCAGAAATGAGCTTTTCTATTTTAAGGCTTTTGTAACTTTTGATGAAACTTTACTGTAGGTTATCGAGGACCAGGATTCCGAATCTGATGTTGGATTTTACATTCGGTCTTCCCATTGGCTAGAAAGCTGAACAATCATTCAGTGTCTCGAAAGCCCTTGATTATGGGGTGTAAGACTTACGGAATCTTAAAAATTTATTATTTTTTTTCGATTTTTTTTGGTGCCTTTTTTCACATGTTCATGAATATCTTGCATGAAAAGTGCACGCGAACAAAAAACAAATTATGAATTTGGATAGAGCAAAGCAAGGGCTATACAACGAGCATAAAATATTTGAAATTCGAGAACTAACAGGTACTGTTTTTGAAGTCACAAGGTTTAAAAAAAACATTCAAATGCCATTTTTCAAGTATTTCCTATTTTCCCTCTAACCAATTTCTTGTCTGATGTTTTTCAAACATTAAATCTGATATCATATTCGTGATTAGTATCGTAAACTACATCGGGTGAAATAATTAAAATTTGTTTCCCAAATCTTTATAGTCGTTGATAGGTGATGCTATTGGTGATGCCTCGTTGTTTTGAATATAAAGACCACATGCCTTATAAAGATGTGATTTTTTCCAGTTCCATACACAGGTTTATAGACATCTTCAAGGACTATAAGATGTGCTAACTTGCTAGTCATTTTGACCGATTTCAGACATCAAAAGTGGTTGTTTTCGCACGAGGTGGTACTGGTACAAGGTGGCACACAGCATTTTCACAACTCGGATGACAACGTTTGGCTTACAAGGACTCCGCCTCTGCTTGTGTAACACTCAGTCGCTCTTCTAGTGGTTTAAAACTGATAACCAATAAATTTATCAGGGCTCAACTTCTCTACGATGTGGAGGAGTCAGCTCAGCCTCGGTTGCTTATCCCTGCTTACGTCACTAATCTGTGTGCATAATATAATCATTCACTACTTCTGAGTGGAATACACAATATCGTGATTGTAGACAAAGTGTGAGATGAGCAAGTAATAACTAGTGTTAGAGAGTATATGAACAACGGACGCATGTTAGATTTTGCCGTGTATCTGGTTTCGATAGAAGCCACATGGTTGCGATTAAAACAAGACATGATGATTAATTTGGGATTAGGCTTTTATCGTTTCCAGAACTTCTTCTCTTTACAAATAGATAATTTCAGCTTCCGTTGGATGAAACGATACGTAAAGATTTTCATCCCACTTTTGCAAGATATAAAGCTCAGGGCAATCTAATTCATTCGTGACTAGAGGATAGGGAGATGTAGTGCAAGGGTGTGGGTGTGGGTGTAGCTAGAAAATAGAATACCCATACCCACACCCTTGATACAAGATTTCATTTCAATATCATTAGAAGAACAAGATCTATAGATGTTAATATAATTTCAATAATATTGCTTGATCTTGTCAAAACATTTTTTTTTTATTGTTTACAAACTAAAGTATGGCATTTTATATGTTTCGGATGGATAAAGTGATTAAACTGGATTTTTCTAGACAGAAAACGTGTGCAGGAAGGTTATCATATATTATAAACTCTTGCATTATAGATTTCATATTATTATTATTTACCGAACCAAAAGAGAACATGTGTGTTTCACCCTTTTTTTTGTCCTACCGCGAACTACGCTGATCAAATTTGTCTTTTCTGGCCAAACACATTTCTGTTCTTTTTTATGGATTCGGTCACATTATTTGTGACAGCGAAAAACTCTTTCTAATTGTCCTTTTACTATGTACTGAATTTCTGCTAGTGAAATGCGTGAAATTGTTAACATTCAACTTAGTCAATGTGATAATCAAATTAACAGTAAAGTACTGTTAAAAAAAATAAAAATCTCTTTTGATATCAATTTCTTTGATTTAATCAGTTCTGGGAAGTTATTTCATATGAACACGGAGTTAATCCAACAGGAAAATTTCATGGTGATTCAGATCTTCAACTTGAACGAATCAATGTTCATTACAATGGAACATATGGTTAATAAATTCAATTAAATTAATAAATATAATTCTAATAGTGTTTCATTTTCCAGATGGAAAATATGTTCCTCGTGCTGTTCTTGTCGATCTTGAGCCAGGCACATTGGATTCAATACGAAATTCTTCATATGGTCAACTTTTTCGATCAGATAATTTCGTTTTCGGGTAAGAAATAATATGATTATAAAATAACTATTTTCATTTGTTTAGGTCAATCGAGTGCTTCTAATAACTTTGCCAAAGGCTTCTATATCGATAGTGTTGAATTAATCGAACCAGTTATGGATATTTTAAGGAAAGAAGTTGAATCCTATGATTGTCTTCAAAGTTTTCAGTTAAGTCATGCAGTTAGTGATGGTACTGGTTTAGAATTCGGTTCATTGATCATTTACAAGCTTCAAGAAGAATATAAGGCTCGTATGTTTCCATCGATGAATATAAATGCTAAAATTTTTCTTTGTGTTTTTTTTCTTTTGAGGTATTAAGATGGTATTCACTGTTCTTCCATCATCTAAAATATCAGAAACAGTTGTTGAACCATACAATACAGTATAAGCTTCTTTAGATATTATTTAATATGCAGATGCTGTGTATTGCATTGACAATGAAGCTTTGTATAGTATTTGCACTCGTACATTTAAACTGAGCAAACCATCTTATGGCGATCTAAATCATTTAGTTTCGACTACTATGTCTGGTGGAGACCGGAACTAAACAGCATATTCCTGCTTCAACATTCCGATTATTTTCTGAGTTTTCAGGCCAGAATCTCCACGGTAAGCTCTGAGCCAAGATAATCTTTGTGTATATATAAGTAAATATAAAACATTTAGACTTAATCCGATAAAAAAAAATCTATTCAGAACTAGCACAGAGAATAGCAGTCTTAGTCTTTTAGACACCGAATTTTGATACAGTCTGGCCAAACGCGTACGATTTGAACCAACTAGAATGCATAAAAATAGCAAGGACTTGGAAAGAGGATTCCAATGACCGGATTATCTCGATTCTTATGGAAATTATCTACAACATGATAATGGCAGTCACTAGATACAATCATCGTATTTCTGCATCCAAGTTCGTACCATCTTTCGGAGCTTATCGTTGTCGATCGATGCCTTTTTCGGCTGGTTCTGATAGGAATTTCTAAGCTGTTTGATCGGAATCATGAGAAAAGTTGTCGATTGAGATTGAGACGACTGTTTTCGTATATCTTTAGGTTTGACACATGCATAAAATTGGCATACGCATCTTAATAAATCACACGAACGCAATATTTATCATATTATTGAACAAGGAAATTTTTCTATTTAGGTTTAGGAACAGTTATTGATGAATATGCCTTAAAACCATCATCATGTAAACTAGTTAATCGTTGGACATCACCAAAAACATGTGAAAATGATGATGGTATTTGGTCTATTCGTTATAATCGAGAAATCGATCACATAGGTATGACCATAATGAACGTACAAACTAATCAATAGCATTTTGAACTTCGTAATCAAAAAGATTTTTCTACAGTATGGCAAATGGTCTTACCTTTATCACATGATGATTGTGAAATATCACTATTAGCAAATTGAGAATGGCTTGCTGTTAATTTGATGTGGAATACGTTTACTTCAACTAGCTAATCAAAAATTAAAAGCAGCTGTTGAATATGAACGTGAATTAAAATATGTTCTTACTATTGGAAATGATTATTTTGCTGTTGAAACAAAAAATACTCTTGAAGTTCATTCAATCAAGAGAACAGATCATTAGCTGCAACTCAATCAAATATTCGAGCAATTCTAATGTATTATACTGTCGAAATGCTCAAATAGAGGATGAAAGTTAATTTTTTTACACTGCACTTTTGTGTTATAATTTTGCATATATTTATAAAAAAAAATAAAAGACAGAAAATTTTATAGAATTTGAGAAAAACAGCGAACTCCAAGCAAAAGTTTAGTTGGCTTGAACAATGTGATGTCACAACTGATTTTTACATCAGATAAAAGTTTATCAAAATCAGAACATCGATTTGTGTGTAGTGCAAGCGAATCAGAATTTTTGAAGAGCAACGGAATACTTTTGTATGCTTCACTGGAAGGAGATGACATTTTTCACATGATTGAAAAGATAACATGCTCAACATTCTTGATATTTTAGTATACATTATGAGTCCCTCGATTCACTTCGATCTCCGACTGATCACGATGCTGTACATTAATTGTGATAGCACATCGAATTTGATGCAATCGTTTTTTGTGTATACATTTCAGACAAAAAAAAGTTAGTGAAAATATAAAATATTTACAACTTTCAAGCTGAAAATTTCAATATTTCTGCAGAAAATATTGATAAACTAAATAAGTCATTTTCTATCTTCCTAGGCTGTTTTGAAATTTTCCTAGTGAAGTCCTTTTTGACAATAATGATTTCACTTTTTTCTTGCATTTTTTCAAAAACCATGTGGTTTTGAACTATTGCTTTCACGATTGTTGGAAAATCGATGTAACACCTTCAAAACTCAACCTCTCGACTCAAGTTTTGTTCGTTTGAAAGCGTATGAATCGTACTATGATAGACACTACTTTCAAAGAAAATATTAGAATTTTAATTGTTTTTCTAATGAGTACAACAAATACTGAACAGAAAAGTTTTATCTGAGACTGATCCACTGCGGAAATTCCGGGAGATTTCGAGAGATACTTATTTTACAATGGAATTGTTTCTCGCAAGGCCTATGATAAACATGTTCCATTTATCGATATCCTTGAAGTGCCATTTCCATACGATTGCTTCAATGGTGACATAAATCAGAAGAGAATGATGTGTGTGAACGAGATTGATATAGATATCGATAGGAAATAGTTACTAGAAGAAGACAATTACATGAGATGCCTAATTTGAATTATAATATAAATGCACTTTTAGAAGTACTTAATCATTTCGAAAATAACTAAGAAAATATAATATACATGT